ATATGTATTCAAATTTAAATATAACCAACTGTCTAACAACTAAGGCTTAGTCTCAGAACTTTGTTGAAAAAATGATCCTGATATTGTCACTGCGTCATATCTAAGATCTTTAGTTAACAGAGTCTTTTACAATTAATTAAACAAATATTTTAACAAATATATTCGCTTGCTGCCTCTCATTTTACAGAGTTATAGGTACTATGAACAGGATAAAACAAAGGTTGAAGGTATTGGGAAATACAAAACAAATGTGTAATATGAACAATTACCACAATAAATACAAACCAATGACCGCAAAATTTGAAATGAATAAGTTATTGACCTATTGTCAACAATCTTTTTTGTCAAATTGTAACAAGCAGGTATATTAAAGTAAGAAATTACTGAATGGGAGATCCCATTCTATCTGGAAGTATAAGTTTATCCCACGTCCTAAAATACAGCAGGTTTTCTTTAACCCAAAAAAATATAAATCTAATTGTATTTAATGACCTGTCATTTTGACTCGTTCGAATCATAATATTATATTATAAATTATAATAATATGCTCCGGAAACGCGTATGATCAAGACAGTAAATGCGCTCTAGCTCAATGTTCGCTGCACTTGCATTATGGTGCATGGATGTATTTTATTGAACTTTTTTTTACCAAGTTTTAACCTTGTCCTTGAAATACGAGTTTAGATTACAACGACATGCATATATTTTTGGTTAAATGCGTGCTTACATTATTCTTACCACATCTTATTATGTAAATATGATATTTGGTAACCCGGCTTAGTAAAATTAAAAGCAGGGGGATTATAAAAAGTACGTATTTGACACAGATAACTCTGAATGGATATAGTTTCATATATCTTTGGGCTCAAAAATGTGATTGTTGTATCAATTACTAATACTGGTGAATATTAATACTGGTGAGTAATGTCATAAATGGAATTTAGTTTTGTAACTTTCCATTTAAGTTTACGTTTACGTAATGATTTAAAATAATATACCTACTATAATTCCGAGCCTGAAAAGACTTCGTTTTTGATATTTCCAGGGCTTAACTATAGTTTAGTGGTGTTTTGGAAAATTGAAGGAAACATAAAATAATATGTTTGATGTTATATTTTTGATGATGATGATGTTATATTTTTGACCAAAGTTATTTATTCGCTGTATTGTGTAGGTAAAATACAGCGAATAAATATCTTTACTTAAAAACTTTTACCTATAGATTTAGATAAGTAGGTACTAGGAATACCTACTTATCTACTTACTATGAGTGAAAATTCTGCAGATAGACCTGTAGATATCACTAGGTCATTAGATATGTCATATACATGCGTCATCGTTGCCTCATCAATATAAGTCACATTACGCCAGGTCAGGCATCCTAACACGAACCAATGGCTTTGACGAAGCCAAACCTTTAGTAAAAATACAAAAAGCGTTGCGCCTGCGCAGGGCAATGCACTTTTTCGTGGGCGAACAAAGCGATCGTTGCGCTGCACTTGTGATTTGAATGTAAATTTGGTATGTCCGAATCTAACACTATACGGCAATGAAAGGTAATACACAACAGTGTCGCACTAACTGCCTACACTAAACTGATCCATATAAATATTGACACAAACAAAATACAATAGAAGTGTAAATAATGTCAAAGCAAAAAAAAATATTAATACATTTAAATATTTGCACATCCAAAAATAATATTTAAATTTTGTCTGTCTGTTTCGAAATGGCTAGACGGAGTTTTAATAGGGGGTAACTCAGGCAGTAGAAGTAAGTAGAACGGAAGGTAGAATGGGGATAGAATAATAGAATAGGGGGCTACTTTTATTTGAAGAAAATAATTATGACTCCGCTCCAAAAATATACATAGATACTAGCAAAGCCACGGAGAACACAACTTACAAACATGGAAATTTTGCTTAATCTGACTTAAATTCAGATTAAACAAATTAATACGATATTTCACAAATACGGTTAAAAGATATGTTTGTTATACGATGTCGATCAATCATAAATTATCTTTCTAAGACGTAGACAATTGTGATTATTAAAGATGTGTGGTTCAGTATTCTATTGATATAGGTAGTTATTTTAGTTATGTTGTTAACTTATATTTGGGACCACACTTGTAGTTGCAAAAAAAAATACTTTTAAAAAGTATCTCTAACCTTAATGCTTTTACAGCGTTCATCATGTTAAGTATCATGTCATGTCATGTTAAGTAAGAAATTGTAGAGTTCTGAGGTAATAAACTTAAAAATATATGTATAAATATAGGTCTCTAAGTTTTGATGAAAAATTATTCTAAACTTCTATTTGTTAAAATCTTCTTTGATTTTTTTCGTGATTGTTTCATTGTACTGTACCGTTGTACTCAAATATATATTCAGTAATAAATGTTCGAACATAAAATCTAGGTGATCTTAAAGTACGTAGTTGATGAAATAGGACATGCAAAATGAAAAGTTCAATTTTTATAGAAAAATAAGTTCACATTTCTTATGTGATCGAGTAGAGAATGATGAGGTAAGAAAACGGTATGTATGGAAAGAAGATTAGTGAAAAGAATTGAGAAAGTATAGGCGAACAGCGAATGACTGAAGAAACTTGGAACGATTTGTGTCGATATATGTGAGGGTGTAAAGTAGCAGGATCAGAAATTCCAAGGAGTGGAAGGAACGACTAGGGCAACCAAGCACCGGACACGCTGCGGTTGCGGTTATTGAGGATTGATTCGAGAGGCATCACGGGATCCTAACATATCGGCAGACCCAGGTGATGACCAAGAAATTATGCTTCGGGTATCACTTGTGTCTGATCCGCAAGGAGCTAATGTCTGAGTGTCACCACTGCCATGGCTGAACCTTGAAAACGACGTTGCACACGCTTTGTTGAGCACACAGAATGCCCGGCAATGGAAGAACAGAGGCGTGACCTCGTGGCACATAGCGAAGTGGGAATTCTCTCGCTTAGTACCATGATTGCGGCCATGGTACGGAGCGAAAGCACATTGAACTCCGCCGTCTTCGTCTGTGAGCAAGTTATGTTTGCGAAGGCGACAGCGGAGCGGGGCCAAGAGACATTTAAAACTCTCCTGGTCTACCAGGCTTAGAAACTAGTCCTCCATGAAACGACCTACGTCCTCCATGGCAGAAGCAGTCCAGGGTCCGTCAGGGTAACCGGGATTTCCTTCCTAGGGTATACTTGTGTCCCAGGCTACTGATATATACAAATTGTTTGTGGTACAATCGGCGTTACTTCAAATGCATTGGATTAGTGAAAGAGAAATTTGCAGGTATACAAATTAGGCTATGATATGAAAGGTACATTCAGAAAAAAGACCATCCCTGAGGGATACCTGAATTGATTTACAAAATGATCACTAGCGTAAGCGAAGTGGCTGGCAAAAGCTGACAATATCATAAAGAGATTTATTTAAGAGTGTTGAGTGGCGTTTCATTTTCCCTGCATTCGTGTGCTTCTGACTACGATTGTCGACCCTTTTTATGTACTATAACTAGCTTTTCTCGGTAAACGTGGTAAAAAGTATGTTTCTCGCTGATATTGTATCCATTGATGAAAGAATTTTCTAAATCGATTTAGTGGTTAAAGCGTGAGAGCCTAACAAACAAACTCACTGTCACATTTATATATAAGTATTCATCATCATATCACAATCCAAATAAAGTCTAATTTTTATAATAATAATCATTATTTCAAGTTCAAAATGAATTCAAATAAAAAATGTTGAAAAGTATACTAGTTTTTTTTTTATTTCTCTACCTTATACGTGCAAACATTATCGGTTAACGGTGTATAGACATTCGTTTACTGGTAAAAAGGTTTGCCCTACAAAAGATCACGTGTATGATGACGTGGTACCACGTGTATGCCATTGAACAAATTATTTCCTAAACATATTGTGTAACAAGAAACAAAGTGGATCAAACATTCTTCTTTAATTATACTGATGGTAGTAGTTCATTTTAATAGTGTCAATACATTTGATAAACTGAATTGAAATTTAGTAAGCCCACGAATTTTACAGTGGAAACCTTAGTCTTAAATGAAATTTGAAAGAAAAAATTTAAACAGCTCACAAACACTTTTTAAAATTATAAAGATTGTACACTACGAGTGCTTACATTATTGTTTTGTTAAATAGCAGACTCGAACTTTTTATAACTTTAAGAAATACGTCTGTTCGAGTTATTAATAGTTTTCTTTTTGTTTTCTAAGATTGTTTTATGGATATATTTTAAATTGGCTTTTTGTTTGGCTCTGTTTTCTATTGTTATAACGGAACTTTATGTTATAACGGAATTTTTATAATAAATTTAGAATTTCATCCTATTACATACTGTCGAGACTATGATGAATGTATGAAAGGATTATATCACAGTAGTAGTGCTTGGGCCTTAAAATTACTGAAAAAATTATTTTTCCCGCGATAGTTACCAAATACTTTCTCGACCTCCGGCCTCCGAATTTTGTTTTAACTCAACGCCTGGCATAAGTAACTGTCTAATTCGAGGTGAGTAAAATATCCTCCAGATGGACATTTTCTTTTGATCCGTCATTGATTGCGATCTTCCTGGTGATAAAGTGATACATTGCTGACGGTTCCTTAAGCGCCTTAAAAAGTCACTCATAGCCAAGAGGAGAGAATAACTATACAAACTGGCTCTCTGACTGACTCTATTAGCCCTAAAGAGTGAGTAACTGGTCAAAAATGGCCATTTCTGGGATAAAAAAACTATCCTATGAACTTTCCTACTATCTTTTTATCAAATTATATCCAAATCGGTTCAGTGGTTTAAGCCTGAAGACGTTACAGATAGACACACTTTCGCATTTATAATATTAGCATGGATTGTTAGGAATCAAACTAACTTAAACATCTTTGAAATGAAACTAATATAAATATAATTTTAATATTCTGTTTATAGCTAAATGTTTAAATTTGTATGTAACTTTATATTTTTCTGTTTATGCAGGTAACACAAGAAAAACAACAGAATTCTATAGTTGTGTGCGACTCTTCCACTTTGCTGTTTTGTACAAAATGAGGTATTATTGTTAATTGTTAAGACAGATAGTAATAAAATATATTATTAACAAATAAAGAGATATAAGTCTATCAGAATCTCATGGCAAATAAGGAAATCAAAATGCATAGGGTGCACAATAAAAAAAAAGAGAACTTTACAAGGTTTACTCCTATAATGACACACCTCGCTATAAGTATACTTTAGAAGAATACTTTCAGCTGGACTTGCAACTTGAACACAGGTCCTCAAAACATAAGCGATAAATATTCGTTATATCAAAATAAATCACAGCAAATTTAGTGTCGGTTCTTTTTTATTTAAGATATTTAATACAAATCATTGACTTAGGTAATTTACAGCAAGTAGGTTAAAGATTCTCTCCCTCGCCTAAAGTTAAGTCACTGGATTTATTGTAATTTTATTAGTTTTGATTCATTATTGTATGATTTTTATCACGCATTATTATATTGATTTACTTTATTCCTGATAACTCCGAATAGAGCTATCCAATTTAGTTTTAACTCTACGCCTGGCGTAGTTAACTCCGTCATTTGCTGTGTCGTCACCTATGATACGGGCAATTGCTGTCAAAAATGTAATCAAATGAAAAAAATCTGAAAGCATCAAAATCACACAAAGTAAACTCTTTGTTGCGTTTTAAAATCAACTATCAAGTTTGAGATATAATTTCTTCTCTGCGTGCTTTTCGATCGAATTTAAAAAAATTCTATTGCAATTGACAAATTTCATTATACGCCGTGACTGGTGACTGTTGATATTAACTTTTAAAAATATATCCATAAGATTTTGATAGACCTGTAGTAAAAAAGTTACGAAAGGTAGTTTTTTTTTTAAATATATATCTAATTTATTCGATTGATACAGGAGGTGGGAACCTTTCTCAAATCACAAATTAATAATTTTCTTGATTTTCATAGGACAACATCCATTTTTATATTACATTTATTAACAAATATTTAATTTTAGTCTACTTTAATCATACTGAATAATCGGTAATCTGTGACAAGTTCATCTTTCCTTAAAACACTTTCCTACACATAGAAAATAACTGTCCAGATAATTTTATACTAGCTCGAAATGTTTAATACACAATGAAATACCGATCTACATATTTTGTATGTTATAAAGAAATTATATCTGTAACATTTTAGCACAGCCATTGAAAGAGATATAAAATATTACTTTTAAAACACCTATCACACAGTTTCATTTATTGTTTATTTAGTTTATGTGCTGCTTTAATCGTAGTCAATTAACATACTAGCAATTGGGATCGACGATGTATGGCCTGTTTACGCAACTGGTCCATTTGCGTTTATCGACACATCGATCAACTAGTTGAATTCATAGTCTAGTCTACGCGTTTAATTTACAAACGTTCTACGTAAACTCATGCCGCACGATGTCTACGCCGTCTGCGCTGGAAATCAGCCTGACTAGTTAAATAAAAGCTTAATAATAAATACAATAAATAAAAGCAGGTGAACCTGAAGAGAGCATGATACAATTTGTACAAAATTGTAATTCAAAAAAGTTTAGAACACGATGTATCTATAAATTAATAACAAAGTTTTGATATTAACTTATAGATACATCGTGTTCTGAACTTTTACTGCACAATAAAGTGGTGGAAAGTTTTAATAATTGTATATTTTACATTGGGGAACAGAAATATTAAATAGTGTAAGACTATTGATATATTTTAAATAAAGATGTACATAACTCCTCTATTATTATTGACTGGCATGTTGGCCTAGTGGTTAGTGATCCTGACTGCTAAGCCGGAGGTCGTGGGTTCGATTCCTAATCAGGACAAATCATAACGTGATCAGCACTATATATAATAATAAATGTATATATTTTGTGTCAACATAAATATTAAAACTCAGCTTCATAGATTATATTTTTAACAGGGCAAATAGTAAAGGTACCGTGAGAAACGGTAATTCTGCAAATTTGCAACAAACTGAAATAATTTGGAAACAATTGCCATAGACTGTTGACAGTTTAGTAGTAACTAGTGGGAAAAATCATTACTACCTTTAACCACAAAATCTCTGCGTCTGTTGCCGCCTTGTACTGTCCAGGTTTACAATGATCTCTATAATAAACATGGACATATGATCACATCTACTATTTAACCTTACCGTTACCTCTATGATCTTGTATTGTTTTTTTTTTCCAGAGGATTTCATTTTTAACATTGTAATAATCCTATTGATTTCTTTACAAATTTATAAATAGAACGACACGTGGAACGATTACCATTTGCGCAACGGCCTTTCCTGTTTCTCAGAGCTAGAGCAAAGTTACATCAATACAGTATAGATGAAGGCCAATGATTAAAAAAAATAGTCGCTATCACAAAAGACTATTGACAAAAAGGCAGACGACGTTGATTCCACGTTGATAATGTGCTTCTATTTTCGGTCACTGAGTATGAAATCGCCTTGTTACATTGTGGTTACAAAAGTATTCTCAAAAGATATCTACATATATTAAGTAGGTGGAATATAAATTTGCTATCGTCAAGGTTTAGAAACTTATTATGTGAATACAATGTTATCTTCGAAATCATCAGTACATACAAAGTAAGACTTCCTCTTGCAATAGGTAAATTTCAAGGTTATAGTTAGGTTTTTCTTTATTCCTTTTACAAGGATACATAAATTTTGGGAAAAGCAGTTCATGGCAGCAGCAGTACAGAAAAGCATATATTATAGGGGCGACTCATGCTTCGCTCTATATAGGCTAGGTGCGACTAGAATGACACTACGGAATGTACATCACATTATCTCTCAGAAAACCGGTGGTAAGCGGTTCTTTCTTTGCTTTTCAATGAGTGAGTCTGGTCACCAGAGCCGAACCTTCCTTATAACCCTGATTCCCAATATTTAATAAATACTTCCTTTTTTAATGACTTGCATCTTTTGATCGACACTGACTGCACGGATGGCGTAGTGTTTTAAGCAGTCGCCACGCCGCTTACTACTACGCTGAGTATTATGGGTTCGATTCCCACATAGGACGACAATATGTGTGATCCACAAATTTATGTTCTAAGTCGTGGTGTTCTTTGTGTCCGTTTCGAGTATGTTTATAAAAGTCCCCCGCGACACAGGACATATTCCTAATACGGGAGTTTAAAAAAAAATTGATCGACACCCTTCCCTGTTTTTCAACTTTTACCAAGTTCACTCTATTATAACCGTAAACAATAGTATAGTCGTATACATTAGCCGTCCTCCGCAATGTCAATGTCAATGTCTTTTAATAGTCATAGTGTAATGTTTCATAGCCAATATCCTGAATATATATTAATATCCGCCAACCAATACAAACAATCATTCAAATGTGACTGATATTCCCAGAGATTCGAGCGTTTAAACAAACAATATCTTTTGAGCTTTATTCGAGTAAAATTAGTATCGATATAAACAAGTCTATTCACGTGCAAGATGCTAAGTAATTAATTACTGCAAAACAGCTCTGAATAACTTTTTAGCAAACAAACAAATTTATTAATTAACCCTTTACTGTTTTTCGTAGTTTCACACGACGCTATAACAACTGTTACATTTCGATGTTTGTACTTTTTTTTGACTACTAACATCATTACATCATTTTAGCATATGTTATAGCTCCTTTGTTGCAATTTAGTAAATGTTAATGACTGCCAACGTTTCTATGATTATAGTGTACAATTACAATCGGAGTAATTATATTACATTAATCAGATAGTTTAAATATTTTAATATAATTAGCTCGGTTGATCATGAAAAGAATCAGGCGTAATGTTACGAGTTTCGTTTTCTGGACAAGTTTGGCTTATTTACCTCTTGCATGTGCGATGGTCAGAAACAAGTTTTGGTAATAAAACTCACGGCCTTGCTGTTTAAATTGCTGTTAATTAGAAATCAAAATAATGAAAATGATGTTTGCATAATATATCAGCATGTAAGATATATCATATCATCATCAACATATATATATATACGTTTAATAATAGAACACATGTATTACGAATATTTTCTTTTACACTAATTGGAGTCGATGACATACAAGTATTCGCAATCGCAACCGTACGCATTTTTATCCACAGGAATTGCAACGTACACAGGCAACGTCCAGGGGTCTAACATACTATATTTTATCGTTGCTAAATTTAATGAGGTTGTAACTTAGAATCGCGTCAGAAATTTAAAGAAAATCTAATTATAAAAATTTGGAGGAGTTATAAAGAATTATAGCACTTATACATTTTTTATAAACTATTAAAAGTAATTAATATTATTTAATTGCAACAAGTAATGGAAGTACCAATGGTAATTTTCAAACCACTCCTGTTCATTAAAACATACAAACAAACTGTGCACATTAGCATTATGATGATTTGATGTAAATTTTTACGTAGCAAGTTATGTCAACGTCACAATTCATTCGGATTTACCGAAACACAATACTTATGTAACAGTCTGTTTCAGTTTTGGTATGAATAAACCCGAATTATACAATGCCTCAAACGAGTTGCAGAGGAAAGCTGTTCTCATGTGTCTAAAAGAATACTCCCACAAAATCAAATGGAACAAAATTGAAGACACAGGCATCGACCTAGGATGCGGGGACGGAAGCGTCTCTGTTTTGGTCAAGAACTTTGCGCCCTACAGTTACAAGATGTTCGTAGCATGTGATATCAACGAGGAAATGATTAATTTTGCTAGTAAGCGTTATGTAGATGAAAACATCTCGTTTAGAGTATTGGATATAGGAGGAGAGATACCTGAAAATATGAAGGGAGCATTCAATCATGTGTTTTCCTTTTACGCACTACACTGGGTTAAGGATCAAGAGTAAGTTATAAAATGACTTCTACTCTTAATATGGCTGTAGACTGGTCACGATTCAACTATTCGGCTTGACTTAACTGACTTGACTGCCTCGGTGCTGCAGTGGTAGCGTATGCGACTTCTGTGCTGAGGTCTCGGGTTCGATTCCCGGGTCGAACCAAGTATTTGTATGATCAGCAAATATTTATTTCGGAGTTTAGGTGACTTTTTATGTATAATATGTATGGATTTACAAAAAAAAAGTATAAAAGTATTCTATCAGTCAATCTAGCTTTCATATTATAAGCTTTGCTTAGTTTGCAACTAGATGGCGTTGTGTGAAAAATGTTCGAAAATATCATTAAAATATTGTATTATTACACCTATCTTTCCACCAGCATTGCTTATACAATTTCTTTATTGTATTTTTACGAGAATTTAACAAAAATGACTAACTTTTAATGATTTTCTTACCCTATCCCTATTGTAGAAATTATAGGCACTGTTTACAGGTGCAAACTAAAGGTTTTTTAAACTTGTCATCACGGCGATTAAGTTATTCTTGTTTTTAAATATGTAACTAGTAATTGAAATGGAACACCATTTCAATTACTAGTTACATATTTTAAAACAGTACAAACATTTCTCACAAAACCGTGTCATCGGTTTGACTGTGGGTAACGAATCACCATAATTCTATTATTTTGTTGTATTTACTACTCTTATATTGTTTTGTTGTATTAAATTGTTTTATGTTTTCCATAATTTGCAGATGACACTTGCAGCCTTATATTATCTATATTTAACAAAAACCGTTGCGACCATAGAGACCAGTTATCATTTGATAGTAATAAAGAAACTATAGTTATTACACACTAGCAATAAAATATTATTAGTTAAAAATACGTTTTACAGAAAAGGGTTCAGGAACATTCACAAACTCATGTCAGACGGAGGCGACTGTTTTTTGGCATTCTTAGCAAGTACCTCGATATACAGTATCTACGCGATCCTGGCACACGACCCAAAATGGAAGTCTTGGCTCAAAAATGTTGATGGATTCATATCCCCGTACCACGAGATGAAAGTATGTATATATTAATTTCATTTCTCATTAATTCATTAAGTATTTTCTATACCTATAGGTGAGTTTGACGAACTAATGTTGTGCACGTAGTCATTTAAACTGCGGTGCCAGAGGAAAGATTGCTGGTTCAATTCCAGTTCAGTGCAAATATTTATCTGTATGCATGAGTTTTCGTCTACATATCGCTACGTATTACATACAGTACAATAATTGCTTTAGTAGCGCACTTTTTTTTTTTGTTGAGCTGGTTGAAAATCTCTTCGCATCTCCTGCTCCTGGGGACTCAGGAGACAGTATGTGGTGTTTCCACTAAAAACCACCCCGACGGACGGCCTCAGGTGCCCTACTCGGAGGATCCGGACCATGTTATTTCAGGTCCTTCCCGAATTGAAACCATGCCTAATCAGGCAAAACGGTATCAATAGCGTGTTTGCGCGCTGTCGCGCGCGTCTGTGGCTGTTCTAACCAGTGCCTGTCGGTGGGCGTTCCGCCGCATTTCGAGCTCGTCCTGGTCTTCCCCGCTCTCACCCCAGCGGATCTGCGGAGTGTCGCCGCCTCCGACGAAATGGTGCGGTATCCCTGTGCGATCCGAATGGCCGTTACCCGCTGCGCTTGATTGAGCACGGCAGCGGGAGGAAGCCGATAGGCGGTTGGCCCATATCGGCGCTCCGTAGAGGGCCATGGATCGCATCACATCAGCAAACTTCCTTCCTCGGACCCCCTAGATTACGCAAAAGCCTCTGTAGGGAGCCCGCCATCCCGAATCTTGAATCCGCTCGAATTGCTCCTCGAAGCTGCAGCGGTTGGCGACTAAACCGGTCCCTGGAGAAGAAAGTATCTACGTCTGTGTCAGCGGGGGACCCATGATCTGAGCTTGTCCAGTACAAGTCCATGGGTCCCTGTCCTCCTCTATTCATAATGCCGAGGTTCAGTCCCGCCGTCCACTCGATGAGAGTATCTCCTCTTACGTTGTCCAGGCGATCACCCCACTGTGTGTACTTGTACTTGGGCGTTGAAATCACCCAAGTAGAAGTACTAGAGAGACAAGAAAGTGCAAATGCAACTCCTAAGTCCGTCCAAGTACACCTCGAATACGGAAAGGCCGCAATTCGAAGATATGTAGCAGCCCACTGTAGGCCGCACTCTACTGCAACAAACCCCAGCCATCTCTGAAGAAGAGTGCAGTGGAGGCCGTTCTCCACCCATGCCCAGTAAATGACGACGATGCGGTATGTTCGCCACGACGCGAACAAAAGTTCTTTACGCAATTATACGTACAATAATCAATACAATAATATAGTTTAATATTACAATTTACACTTTTATTATTTAAGAGATGGACAGTACAAAATTAGCACGAAAGTTCTGTATGTGTGTGTATGTCTGTGTCTGTAGGTCAGTGCCAGTGCCACGGCACTTTCTAGGCTAGATGACAAATTATCGCCAGGTATAAAAAGATAACTCAGGAAACTGGAATCACTTTTACCAGAACGCATTTTTATTCAGCATGTATAAATAGTTCCAGTTAGTAGTAGCGAGGCATCCACTAAACGTATTGAAGTAAAAGTTGAAATGTAAGAGGGAAAAAATAAACTACGTATCAAACCAAATCCATAAGCAGACCTTCTCAACAAAGTTTTTTTTATTCATGTTTAATTATTTTTTTAATAACTCTAAATTTTAATTGACAGAATCCAGAGAAGAAAGTAGCAGAAATATTGGAAAAATGTGGTTTCAAAAATATTGATGTGACATGCAAAAAACTGACAAATAAATTTGATACGGTCGAGGCACTGAAAAGTAAGTAAAATGCCATAAAGTTATATGTATATAAATTTAACCAACTACTACTCGTATTATCTACCATACAAATAATGTTTCTTTTTCAGATACGGTAAGATCCGTGGAACCGTTTAATATGCCGAAAGAAGTATTTGACGATTTTATACAAGATTATATAGCCGTGGGTCAAGAAACCGGGATCTTAAATTTTAATACCAATGAGAAATCAGAAACAATATCAGTCACATACGACTATACTCTTCTAGTGATCTGTGCAAACAAGTGATTTCTTTCTTATAATCGACAGTTTCTAAAAAATAGTTTAAGAAATTATAGAATTACCAATTTGTATCGTAAAATTTAAAAATATTCCTTAAACTTGTTATGAATATTTGGTTTTTAATTCAAGTGATTGTAGTTTCCAAATTTAGACTATGCGAAAATAAAAAAATCTCTTTCAATTCATCACAAACAATTTAACGCTAATATCATAATCTTTGATTCACCACTATTTCTGTTTTATTCACTCATCATTCATCATTTTTATTTTAAAACAATTAATTGAAATGTCTCATATATTACGTACCTATTATCTTAAATGTAAAATTTTATTTATGAATTTACCCAAAAGCAACAGAGTTAATTTCAATATACTTATTTAGTTTTTGCACTGTAGGTACTTAGTTTTGGAATCAACATTGACATATAAAAAAGACGAGCAAAACTCAACTTTATCTTGACTTAGTTACTTTTGTACAAATAAAAAAAAGTACATTTTAGAAAATCCAGTGAATCGCAATCCATTTGTGGATATAGGCCTCTCCTAAACCCGTCATAGCACCCGGTCCTGCACCTATCTTTTCCAAGCCGTAAAATCGATTTAAATCATGAAAAGCTGCAAAAAAGTGTCTTTAAATAGATATAGATTATTATTATGATGATGATATAGTTCATTATTAAGTAACTTTATTTATTACAAAATATATATGTTACATTTATCATGGCAAGTATGTTTTAAATTGAATTTGAATTTTGTTTCTGTTTCATCAAGTATTTATTCTTTAATAATTTTACTAAGCCAAGGTATTATTCACACAGTTTTATTAGGCAAATTGCATGAAAAGACTTTTATGCCTAGCTAATATAAGTTATCAAATTGTAAAATGGTTTTATATTTATAATTAGGTTTGGTGCAATAATTTTGCATCACCAATGTCTTATATTAATTTAAAGTTTGTATGAACATACAACCACATTGTCTTCTATTGATTTGACTATTTATTATTGTATTTGATATTATATTATAAAATATTTTTGTAACGGAGAAAGGGTAAACATAATAAATGTGCAATTGTTAATTGTTTTTATTTATTTCAAAAAAATATAATACACTTAATTTAATAATTTACTGAATTCTAAATTCTTCTACTGAATTCAGAAAATACATAATGTTATCAATTAGATGGGTCCTCACCTCGCCAAGATAGCGGTTAGTAAGTGACTAAAACTACAAGATGTTACGTGTGTACCATTTTTCTGGACTGACTGTTTTACAATATTTGGGTCCATAGTTCAATGTGGAGAGATAAGTTCAGCTAAAATTCAGACTGTATAGAAAATACCGGGACCTTAGAAGTTTTAGCTCGAGATTATTTTAGTTGTTTCGCTATCTGAACTATGTTTTGAAAGGCGGTAGACCTTTCACAAAATAAGGTGGGTAAATCTCTCACTTCAAACTATATAAATAGAATCAAGAGTTCAACATCGCTTACTATTTCGCCCAACTCAGATTGTTGTGGTGGTAATGTATTCAATTATAGTTCTCCAGAGTTTATTGTATGGAATGAAAGCAAAAAAGCCTAGCTTAAAAAAATATCCTTCCCAATAAAACGCATATTACAGCGAAAGAAACTAACCATAACAAAGCGACAGGTAGCAATATTTACTGGTGCTATCCCCAGCATTCTCAGAATGACGTTGCAATCAGTGCGTATTCTCTTGAATCACTGAATCTCGGTATAATTCATCATTATCAGCCTATCGCAGCCCACTGCTAGACATACGCCTCTCCCACTGCGATCATTTTACGGTATAAATCCCATATCGCAATTAACCGGCATATAATATTGCTAAGTCTATATTATACAAGATTTAAGACACCACTTTTCGGTAGTTTTTGTTATGTCCCTAGCGTTAAATATATGGCCAGTTTAGTGTGGGATTTTTTTAAATGCCAGTGCTGTAGCTGTAGTAAAATAAAAATTAATTTTAAATAAATATGAATTTTAAATTGACGGGTTCCCTTTTTGTTTTTGTGTGACATTGATTATACTAGTTCATGACTGATTTTCAAGTATTTGAGCCAGTTTAAGCTCTTGAGTTCTAAGAAGTTACTGCCAGAAAACCTCATGACTACATGAATGAGAAAAACTAGGTGTGCTTAAATATTTGATTACTGCGCCACTTCGTAACAAAGGTGACCAAAATTCCAGATCATCAAAAATTCTGCTGCAACAGTAATTTTCAACTTTTCTTTAAAAAAAGACCGGCACCATCAGAACGCTAAACGACAATGCTTATTCTTTAAGTCAGGATTTTGATTTTGAAATTTTTCAATGGTAATTCATGAATGATGTAAGTAAAGCAAGTCTTTCAGGTATTTTCACAAGTCGGATATAGTGTATACTACTATTAATTTAAAGAGATTAAAGATTTAAAAATATTTACAAATAATAATTTTTGAGGCTATATTGGCATTTTTCTGGACTACCAAACTCAGGAACAACTACTGGTATAGTAGGAAAGTCTATAGAAAATTGTGTACTGAAATAATAATAATAATATTTTCGGACGTCTAACACACAACGGCATCTAGTTTCAAACTAAGCAGAGCTTATAATATAAAAGCTAGATTGACTGATAAAATACTTAGATACTTTTATTTTCTAAATACATAGATATTATACACAGAAAACACCCAAACTCCGAAACAAATATTTACAGATTATACAAACAATGGTCCGACCCGGGAATCGAACCCGAGAACTTAGCACACAGCAGTTGTCACCGAACCATTCAAAGGAAATCTTATTATAATATAAAGATAGAACCAATTACAAACTTTGACTAAAAGCTGAATTATTTATGTAGTTTTATTAGGTATGTTATTTATTTATTATAGTTTAATTCTTATATACTCTAAGAACGATAAATTTATTTTGATGGATGACTAGTACTTGGAATCAGACATTTGATAGTTTGGTTACAACAATACGAGTATTGTAAAAGCCTGTGCTTACATAATTACAGACAGCTTCAATATGTAAAACCACTTTACCAATAACACAAAACTATTTTATATTATCATTAATTATCAGCAATATTCATTCCATTTCATATATAGATTACGCGCATATTTTAAAAGAAAAAAAGCTCCAAAATGAAGGTTTTGTGCGATAATAATTAGTAGTTAGTCATACTCTTAAACCTTCCAAGGTGTTTAATGTTTCTATACAGGCTTGATGTTATGGTTGCAACACCTTTCTTAATGATATCAACGCACTTAATGATAAACTTTGTTTTTAGTTGTAATTTAAAATAGCCTTCAGTTTTTATAACCATTTTGTTTTTTTTTATTTTATGTGTTTTTGACGTTACGATTTAATACAAGAATACGATGACGAGAAGAAGAAGATACGATACGATAATACAAGAATACAAAAATAATGTATAAACATAATTTTTGTATTCTTGTATTATCTAATAGCTGTTGTGTACTGTTTACTTTAACTGATTAGTAAAATCTGACGAATGTATGAACTTACATTGAAGTTCAGTCTAGTAACAAAGCGGATCCTGATAGTTTCCGTTTAATGCATTTTAACAAGCTTGTACCCTCTGCATCTTTTTAGCAAAATCTTATAAAATATCATATTTATTTAAATAATCATCTAAAAACGAGCTATGCATTTTAATACTTTCTAGATCATTGAGGAAAATGCATATATACATCGAACTAACTATTCCAATCATTGATCATTAGACAGATCATACGAGTATGATAATATAGTATAAAATAATATATTTTACTACATTCACACAACGCCGTCTAGTCCTAAACTAAGCAGAACTTGTACAATGGGTACTAGGCAACTGATATATATACATATATACTTTTTTTGTCAATACATACATATTATACATAGAAACACACAGACCAAATCAATCATTAAATGTTCATGCACACAAGGTTTGACTTGAGCGGGAATAGAACCCGCGACCTTTGGAATAGCAGTCCGTTACGCAAACCACTATGCCATCCGGTCGTCAATAAGAGTGAGATCTGGTATGTAAAGCCCAACGCTTGCATACCTCGTTGGATTTGTACAATAACTTTTATTAATTAATATTGAGTTTAATTGATTTATTGATTTACTTTACTATTACTAAATCGATTTAAGTGGAATCTGTCCGATCTTTTTAAAATTCAACCGCCAAGAAAAACTACAATTTTACTTAATGTAACTAAATTCAGAATTTTCAATATCTAAAGCATAGTTCAAACTGGAAATATAGATCTAGACAATGAATATATTACACTAGGAATACCACTTACAACTTTGTTTACGCAAGAAAACTTAATAATAATGCATTTAACTCAAAAACTTACGCTTTAACATGCACAGCCTTATAAACTTTTCTTTCTCTGAAAAAAAAATGGAAGTTGCAGTGCGAAAATCTCATTTATTTATTTTAATATTTTATACAAGGTAATCTCCTTGACGCTGTAGCATATTTCATACACCATATTTAAGCATTTATGTTTTTGTTAGATCGCGAGGTTCTTGAACAAATATCGGGTTTGGTAAATAATGATAAAGGTGTTAAACGTAATGTAATATAACAGGGTACCCCGACAAGACTCTGCCTGTCCATTCAGACATATACGAGGGAACTTACAAATAATTATATAAGCAAAAACTTAACCAGTGTTAAATAACATTAACATTAACCATTAACATTAATAAAATTACTTAACATTAGCCGGTTTGACTTTTGTCGAGCAAAAGTACTTTGACCAAAACTACAGTCCAAACCGATAGTAGATAGAAGTCTTATCGAAATCGCATCCTTCTTCGAACATCATCATCATCTCATCGTGAGTGAACCGGGCGGACACCCTGAGCGGGTCCTAAAGTGGCCATACGATAGGAGATATTTTTTTTTACGTTTTACCTACTCGAAAGGGGTGCCCTTGATTTTACGGTCAGGTGCTAGAAGGGGATTCGAAAATCTTAGTTAAAGCTATTCCTGGATCCCTCCGTATGGGATCATACAATTCGATTCCGACACAACATCCCAACAAAAAACCCACTAAAAGGCTTATGTTAAGTAGTTTTGTTTTATTTATAAAAATATATTTAACAGTTAATAGTCATTCTGAGTAAAGCTTTAGTGGTTAAAAGTAGTACGTAAGTAAGTATTAATCTTAAATTACCGTCAAAATTAAAATATCGACTGTTTATTTTTTAAATTAAAATTACTTTTGATGGGTTACTTGTTTTAACTGTAAGGAACCGAACCAAACATTTTTTTAAGTAACAATTTTCTTTACAGAAACAATTAAATTATACCTGTTTTGATGGTGTTTGGTTTATCTTTCGTAATAAAAAAAAGTTATAAATACAAAATATAGATTACATAAGTACGCCTAGCGTAGCCGACATAGTTGTACGCAAAATCCTAACTACGATATATACTTACATAAAGCGTATCAAATGCGTCACTGTTGTAAGACGTTTCGGAGAGACGCGTACGACGCACATATAAATCCCGCTCCCATAGCGAGTGTCCGCCAAAACCACACTCAGTACGCCGACCAAGCGCACGCGCATCCAAAAATTACGGACAAGAAAATTTAACGATCTGAAAGTTTGAAGCGCCTAACATAACAAGTACCATGAATAACGCCAATCTTTATCAACAAAGCAACAGCATCCAAAAACGAGATGCACTTGCGTGTTTAGAAAAACACGCACCAAAAATGAAATGGAAAAATAATAATAATCGAATCATAGATATAGGATGCGGGGATGGCACTGTTACAAATATGCTGAAGAAATATATTCCGACAGACTTCAAGTTATTAGGCTCTGACACAAGCGAGAGTATGGTGGACTACGCTAACAAACATCACTGCAACGAGCAGACGTCTTTTACGGTGCTAGATATCGCAGGCGATCTACCGGAAGGGATGAAGGGGAACTTCGACCACGTTTTTTCATTTTACGTTCTTCACTGGGTCATAGACCAAAAGTGAGTACTTTTTTATATTAAGTTTAAAAAAGCACTGTAAGCAAAACTGTACACGAAAAATCCTTATTACGTAACAAAACTATGTGTTTTTTCAAAATAATAAAGTCTAAACGGTATTTATAACTCTACACAAAATTAAGTCTTCCGCCTGGACATCTTAATTCATATAAATGAAATTTTAAAACATTAATAAACTAACAATTGTCTTGTTCAAATTGGGAGAAAAGCGTATTTAAATACCTTTATATATAATAATTTAACGCTATATAAATATTTATTTACCAATGCGACTGCTTAAATATTCTTTGGGGCCCAGATAACCCATCGTCACCAAAGACATGGTGAGAATAAATGGGAAAATGTCAGCCTCTTTAATTAATTAAATTATCTGTACCTACAAATTAAAGTGTAAGGAGCCTATTCTAGGAAATTGTTTAACGTGACTACCTATACCAGAATTAAAGTTTAGTTCACAGTATATACAACTCACCTTGCAAAATCCACTATTTAGAAAAAGCCATGTACCCACCGACGCACACCGAATGCCATATAAAAGTTAAAATGTATGTACTTTACATTTCAGACGAGCTTTCAAAAATATCTTCGATCTTCTAGACCAAGACGGCGAGTGTTTCATGATTTTTCTGGCTTGTAACCCAATATACGACATCTATCGCATTTTATCACGAAAAAACAAATGGTGTGCCTGGTTGAAAGATGTGGAGAAATACATCTCACCATATCACGACTCAGAGGTAAGACACCGCTTCTATCAATAAAAAAATACTACAAATGTTCATACTTTAAAACATCTGGTTAGGTCATTTATTAAGGACTATGTAACGGAAAAGGCGGTTTCATATGCGTGTACCACCATAGTTCTTCTCTTAAGTGAAATCTAGCCTTAGTTACTCCTTATAACATCAGGCCAGTTACTCTTATAAATTACTTACGCTGTTTCGAAAACGGTAACAAGTGGAAGGAGAAAAAAACATAATATTTATTGAAAAAGTTGGTACTACAATACTACACTTTTCATTAGCGTGTGGATAACATAAATGTTTCAGAATTTAAAACTAGAAAAAACTTAGATATAAGTAGTATAACATGTTACATTAAATAATATAAAACATACAACCATAAATTGTGACATCAACTCTTTGTCTGTTACTATCTATTTGAAACTATGTACGTTTAATACTTCACACTACAACACCGTCAATAATGTCTTTCAGGAACCCGACAAAGAAATAATGAAAATGATGGCGGAAATTGGATTTGTTGACATTGACGTAGAGTGCAAAGACATGATATTTATGTATAATGATATGGATACTATAAGAAGTAAGTAAATTACTCAATTTATCTCAAAGTTACTTTTGACATCACATACCTATATAGGTACATATATAAGAAGAAGTGCTTATACATTCCGCAAAAGAAGCCGGTTAACATACCTATCAAATATACCAACGTTCGATACTGTGAAATAAAACGTGTCGTATTTACTCGTAGTTTTTAAATATATATCGAGCCTGCGATGAGAAGTTAGATTCTAAATTATTATAAGTACCTACTCATGCAGAGAACGCAAAGAAAACAAATAAACACCTGAAAACCTTAAGTGACATTTATGCACTGCTTTAGTTTAGAAGTTAGTAATAGAACAATTAAAGATGTTTTTTAATTATATTTAAAATCCAGAATCTTAAATCTGAAATTTTATAACCATTTATTTCCAAGAACGTAAATTATGGCGTAAATTAAATTTAAAATAAATGAGGAACTATAGATTGATACTATAAGTTTACATGTAAGTTGTTCCATTAAAAACTGAAATTATGGCCATGAAAATCTAAAATATACAACTGATCGAGGGTTCGATGCCTGCTAAGTGCATTTAATATTTTGTACGTAGAAATATATGTGTATTTATTTAAAAAAAAATGTTTGCAGTTCTAGGACCTCGCGCTATCAAAGTGTTGTGTAACATCTTAGAACCTTATTAGTTTTTCTATAATAACTTTTGTACATTTTATATGAAAATTATGAAGTTAACAATATATTATATACTTATCGTTTGAAATATTTCAGAAGCGGTAACAGCTGTCAATCCCTTCAAGATACCAAAAGACGAGTACGATGAGTTTTTAGAAGATTACATTGACGTATTAAAAAATATCGAACTAATAGATAAAGTTAACAATAATGATTCCTCTGAAGATGTCAAGTTTAATTATAAATTACTAGTAGTTTATGGTAATAAACCATCAAATAGAGATATTTCAAGTTTTGAGGGAGACTTTAAAAATATGTCTTTTTAATAACTAAAATTTTTAAATAGCTGAATTCCGAAATGGGTAGTAGAAATTAGTAAAATCTGACGTTTTCCTCATAAAAAATGATGGGTATACGTAAAAAATAAATAATAGTCTATTGACGACTGCATGGCGTAGTGGTTTGTGTAACGGACTACTATTCCAAAGGTCGCGGGTTCGATTCCCGCTCAAATCAAACATTTGTGTGCATGAACATTTGATGTTTGATTTGGTCTGGGTGTTTCTATGTATAATATGTACGTATTTACAAAAACAAAGTATATATGTATTTATATCAGTTGTCTAGTACCCATAGTACAAGCTCTGCTTAGTTTGGGACTAGATAGCGTTGTGTGTATGTGGTAGAATATTATTATTATTATTATTATCTAAAAATTAGCATCTCTTAAAAGTTGAAATTTCTTAAGACTACTTCCCATAGATTAGTAATGTTGGTTGCACCCAATGTTATAAGATGAAACGGCCATTTGAATATTTTTAAGTTGAAGGTACAAAGTTATGTTTAATAGAAGTAATTTTTTAAATAAGTAAGTTTTTATACTTTTATATAATATTAAATATGAATCGGTACTAAAAGAGAACAATTGTGAAAACCCGATTTAATTTGATTGAAACTTGACCTGTTATTTTTCGAATAACAACAGGTCCAAATTTATGTATAATAAAGTGAGTTGCATTTAGTGCTTTAATTTTTGTCTTTCATTAAATTTTACAATGATAGCCCTGACGACTCCTGTAAAAAAACAAACAACTCCGACATTAAATAAGTACTTAGACAGATGGTTTCGTGTCGCATTATCATATTGAGAACAATTACCAAAGTAACTTAATAATTGATTTTATGCATTTGCGTGGATTGGGTCCAACTGGATATACAACTTTCATTCGTGTGGCAGTGACGCGACAGTCGTCGTCCGAGCTGTACCGAGCCGTATACTAAGGTCTTGAAAAGCACACAGTGGTGACTGTGCGCTGCTCAAGAAATCGCATGCCTCATACATCCAAAAAATGGTAATATCATCAGTAAGTTATTCAGCATTACATAACGTTCGTTGTACCAAAGTACCAGAGGATATAAAACGCCTAACATCCACAGTTACAACTAGGTTTTAAGCATTAAGGATCAGTCCACACTTCTGTGACACATGCGACCTATATATGACTATCTGCACTGGCGGAAAAAAAAACACAAGAAAAAAAATATGACACTAATATATAATATATACGGTGTCGATTTATTTTCAAATTTCAAAAAAAATCAAAAAATTTGCTATAATACTGAAGACAAGGTGCACATCTTTGCACCTTGTCTTTAGTATAGGGATAAACCCATTTAAATAGTAAAAATATAAAAAAAAATGCTGATGCTTACGATGTTTTCTTCATGTAAACCGAACATACATTAGGGGAGTGTTCCTTTAACCCGTATTTGGACAGCGCAATATAACAATAATTATCATGTCAAATTAGTAAATAAACTCGGTCATAAAGAAACTGATGGCATTGACAACGACGCTCAATGCAGTAATCAGTGATTTGGTGGTTGAATTGCTTGGCTAACTAATGAAAAGAAGAGGACAACAACTAGCCTTCACTCGTCATGTTGCCTACATTTCGCCTAATATATCTCCAAGATGCCCATACCTCTCTTCGTAATAGAAGACTGGTAAATGGTTTAGTGTTTATGTACAGTGTTGCAAAATAACATTGATAGTGAATACATATATGACAGATGATCCTGTTTGCAATCTCCTTATTGTTCCCTTATCCAAAACTAACCTTGGTTTAAACGCAACCTTAAGTAGAATGTGTAGGAGTTTGAATTAATTCCTGAAAACTGTGCCTGATGCTGATGTGTATGCTGACAGAGAGAACCAGTTTCGTGTAACGGCTAATCTAGAAATTTAAACTGAATTTTGCGTTGTTCGCGTGTGGTGCGCCCTGTCCATGGTCCGGCCATTGCAGTGATGGCACTCAGGCGTTAGCTCCTTGCGGAACAAACACAGATTCCCTGCTGATTACCTGTGTCATCCGGTATAAGAGGGTCCCGTGTTGCCTCTCGAGCCAATCCTCCATAATGGGTCTTACCGCCGCAATAACGGTGTGGCCGACCATTTTTCTACCCTGAAATACGGGCATGCAATATTTCATGATTTTCGGTCCAGGTAGTTCAGGTGTTAAGATGCGTACAACCCAAGACTTGGATGTTTGGCGCTCTTTGGGGGAGGCATTTGTTCAGCAGTGGACGGCAATAGGCTGAAGTAAGTAAGTAAGTTCAGGCGTTAAAGCTTAAAGAACACACTTACTTTCATGTTTATTATATTAATTAAGATGTACCCATACTTCCATACTAGTATAATAAGTGTGAAAGTGAGTCTGTTTGTTTGTTACGCTTTCACGCCTAAATCACTAAAGCGATTTAAAAAACTCTTTTACCAATGGAAACCTACATTATCAGCTAGTAATATAGGCTACTTTTTAATGCGATAATCAACATACACGTGGTCGAAGTCGCGGGAAAATGCTAGTATATAGCATGCATAGTTCGTATAATGTTATGTGCTTGTCATAAGAATTCAATGTATGTAACTTTATTTTCATTATTTATTAGCAGATCAAATAGTGGCTGTGTAGCGGAACGAATATTTTATTAAATTCTTGATTAGCTACCTACAAATATATATATAATATGCATCAATATTAAATAGATCGCCTGTTATGCATATAACAATACTGAAAAATAACCATATCAAATTTCATAATACCAATGCGTTCCAAGTACTTCATCTATGCATGTTTAACATGGCACATTTAAAAAAATAAATTGCTACCAAAATTATTCCTGAATGGAACAGATGGCATTATCAATCTTCTAAAACAGTTATCAAACCAGAGCTGGACAAAATACATATTTTATTTTTCTTTAATTGAAATATAAATGGAGCTACTACTACTAAATCAGATGTCATGGGTTTAATTCCCACTCAGGACAAACATTGTGTTCTGAGCACGATCATTTTTACTGAAGCTGGATGTAGTTTAATTTATATATATTAGCAGTGTTATTATCAGCAGCCATTACTATGTGTTAGTTAAAGATTTACGAATTGTAAAAAGAAAGTAAATCTACTCTTTGGTCTCATAGGAAAATAAGAGTAGGAACTAAAACGATTGCATTTTATTAAAATCACTTTTTCTATTAAATTATCAATTCATGCGTAGGCCTTTATCTAAAACAAAATCACTTAAATTATTTGGTGAGATTTAAAAATTCAGCCGTTTACGAAAGCGACAATTAACTACTCGTTGAAACAGTTATTATTTCTTAAAAATAATTCTACAGTAAATGAAAAATCACTAACGATTTTTTTTTAATAATTTGTGTTCTCAATAATTCCTCGATTTTCACTTGATATAAGCTAGTAAAATTTTAATTTGATTTAATATCCTTCAAAACTAGAAACATGAAGATGCTAAATTTATGGCGATTTATATATTTAAAAACTTTATTTTATTTTATTTTATTTGGAAAACAAACAGTATTAAAAACTTAATGGTAAGAGCAAATAATGTAGCTAAAAACCAGTTACCTACATGTTTTCACATATAAATAACTATTAAGACGTTGCTTGTTAAAAAAAAAAGAAAAGAAAATCAACTACAACAATTACAGTACTACATCACACATTATAAAATGCTATTAAGTATAATTTATGCAGTTATTGAACCAGTTCGAACCAATGTTTGGAAAATATTACAGGTTTTACCTGTGCGCCAGTAGAGGATTTACATATTTGCTACCAGTAGGCTATAAAATTTTTGCCACCCCTACTAACCTCTGCAATTCAATATCTTCTTTTTTTACGTATCGGAGGCTCCAGCTACTTGTAGGAAGTGGTTGAGGGCTTTTTCCCACAACGGGTGGAACACACACCCACGTGGATGGCCTCCTTTACCGGAAAACTCCTTTACCTGTTCGAGTCTTACCCTTTTTTTTTTTTTTTTTTTTAACGTGTGGAAATCCCCTCGGACCGTCACCCCACCGGGGTTTGCGGCGGGGTGGTGTGTCGGACTCGGACCGACTAAAACCACACGGTGTGCCACTCTGCGCCTGTAACAGGAGGGATCCGGGAACAGCTGTTGTTAAGACATCCGGACCCCTCCTAGCGCCGGCCCGCTCCTGTTGCGGGCTCCGTCTCAAAATTTTTTTTTTTCCTCTCTTTAGGCGACGTCCGGGACACGCGGACGCCGCCCCCTCGCGGCTGGCCAAACTCGAGTTCGGTTCGGTTCGGTGCGGTTCGAGTCTTACCCTAGTTCGACCCCGAGTTCGACCCTAGCCCTCAACCACATTTCAGACCCCCTTAAGAAGGTGTTCGACGCTAACTTGGCGTCCGGACGCTTCCCTGAGTGCTACGGTCGCGGCCTACAGGCCTATTGTGTTACTGAACAAAGACGAGACGGAAAAATTGTTTGATCGTCCGGCTTCTCTACGAGGTTTCGGTCAATTCGATTTTCGAGCGGGGCTTTTGACGATTGGTGCTGTGTTACGACTCAGGGTCGTGACCGAAGAACGCTTGCATTTATTTTCATACACTGATCAATAGATGTCATTGTTATCACGAAATAAAAATACATATTATGATATATACAGGCTGTGCGGCGCAAAATAACTTCATATTAAAAAAGACCGGCTGGTTTTTCAACGGGATAATTCGGGTAAAAGTATTAGTAAAAAAAAAATACTTTCGATAAAATCGATTAGTGGCAAGTTATTGAACAAAAAAACAGGTGGGAAAACCGATTTATTAAAAAAACAATAGGAAAAACAATTTTTATGGAAAACAAAAAGTAGGAGATTGTAGTGAGAGAAAACAACAGAAAATGAGAGTTGCTGAAGTCAAATTCGTTAAAAAATTTACGCGATTTTTTGCCCTTCATTTTCTCAGCTTGTGTGACTCGTAGAAACCGTTCGGGGTTTCAATACGTTTGAGGTGTAAAAAGTACAATATTACAATGTACTAATTAATATACACTATTATTAATTACATATTTGAATAAATACAACACAAAAAATTACTATTTTTCTTAGTGGGACTACTATTTTTCTTAACAGATGGGAGCGTATGCTGAACATACGATTTTTTTTTTTTAAATACGAAGATTAGGTGGAACAGGCGGATTATACATATTGACAAAATGGGATTAGGTGCAGCTTAATCTCATAAAACACCTAATGGTCGGATCTGTTCTAATAAATACGACACATTTCTAGAGCCCAACTGTTGTCCCTTACTGGGCGTCAAAAGTACAGACTCGGGGTTTTGTCAGAGGGCTATGGAATGAAGCATCCCTGGTATCAAGCTAGGGCAAGCATCTAATTCGTGTGAGAAATGTGGCCTTACGCCATGGCACGACAAGACTATCTAGCAGACGCGACCGCGATACACAGGTGGTCTGAAAAGTTTTCGACCTCACACGAAGATGGCAGCACTCGTGAACAAAAGCTAGTGAATTTCGTTGTTCATCTGTTGACATCATCTGTTGATCTGTTGACTGTTGAAAATTTTAGCCATTTTGAACGCGCAGTTATTATGTAACAGTCATTTGAGTGAGTTGATGTAAGTGTTTTTATGAAAATGGACAAAATCGAGCTGTCATTAAATATTTGTTTTTGAAAGGCAATACGCCTACGTAAATTAAAGATGAGTTGGATTCTGTGTATGGGGACTCTGTACCATCTTTTACCACAGTAAAATTTTGGGCAGCTCTAATACGAAAACATCGCCAAAGTTCACCAAATGGTGCTAGACGACCGCCGAATCAAAGTGAGAGAAATAGCAGAAGTTATGAACATGTCAAAAGAACGTGTTTGTCACATTTTAAATCAACATTTAGATATGAGAAAGAAAGAAAAAGAAAGAAAGCTGTCCGCGCGTTGGGTGCTGCGTTTGCTTACGTTAGACCAAAAATGTGTTCGAATGAACATTTCCAACGCCCTGTTGGCGCAGTTTAGGCGCAAAAAATCCGAGTTTTGGCGCCGATTAATTACTTCTGATGAAACTTGGATACACCATTATACGCCCGAAACAAAAATACAGTTCAAACAGCAGTCCAACAGCTCCAAAAAAGGCAAAACCATTACAGCAGCATACTACGCATAATTACTTGACAAGCTGAAGACAGAACAAGAAAATCCTGTTTCACCAATACAACGCACCGTCTCACACCTCATCGGTTGCCATGGCGAAAATCCACGAATTACGGTTTAAATTGCTTGACCATCCGCCTTACTCACAAGCCCCAAGCCCTAGGACAGAGATTTTCAAATGAAGAGGCAATCACCTTCGTGAACAATTATTTTGCAGAGAAAAACGGCGAGTACTATTTGGACGGGTTACAGAGATAGGGGCATCGCTGGGTGAAGTGTATAGAGTACAGAGTATGAAGTACAAGGAAACTATGTTGGAAATAAAAACTGAAAAAAGGTCTTGTATATTTTTGGTAGGTCGGAAACTTTTCAAACCACCCTCGTAACATCCACGTTAAAGTGGAACTCAGTCAAACACATAAGGCGTATGAATCCGATGTGGTGGGCTAGAGTTGTCACGCCGTGACACCCACAGAACGGAAAACATCATCAGAAAAGTCAATGCCCATCGTAAGGACTGCTGGCAACTCGCCAAAGATCGAGATGGATGGAAACGGAAGGGGAGGCTTTTGCCCAGCCGTGGGTATTCAACGGCTGACATAAAAAAGCGATTTATATTATTTAACTTATTGAAATATTAATTATGTTCTGAGTTAGTTACATACTCGAAACTTTTTTATTGTTACTTGATTAATATTTACACAATCGATATTAAGTAGAGTATACATTGTAAAACTGGCAACACTACAATTATAATGTCTGACTGTCACTGCGTGAGTGATCTGTGCTGTTTGATTTTGATTGTTTCTATTAGATATGGAACTTATGGCTACTTTTAAATCATATTCATTTGATGAAATGATTACTTTGAGTCACAGCGATTTCACATGTGACTGTAATTTTGTTCCATTCTAGTGTAAACCATAGACAAAAGACTGCTGTCAACTACAGAGGACTGAAAAATAGTGGATTTGCCACTAAAACTGGTGGTTTCGACACTTTTAATGGCGAAATTTTGCTTTTAGAGGCTAGTGAAGTTTTTTTAGTAATAATAGTAAGATTAAATATTACTTAGGAAATGATGTTGAAAGATGAACTGTGAGAACTGTTTATGTACCTACGCAAACCTCAAGAACGTTTGATAGAAAAGGAAGGATGGGGATTGGATAGAAGTGCTAAGGAAAAGAAAGATTAATAATTTTAGGCAATGGGATGATGTAGGCTTTGCGCCAGAGAGAGGAAAAGTTTTCGGAGTCGAGAAAGAAGTCAATAATATGGACTATCACTTCGAGGACGTAATCCAGGATGGTAACTATCATCCTAGGGCTTGCATATCATTGCGTTACAACAGACAGAATGATCTTTTTGATGTCCCTAGAAGGCACAAGAGAAAATTCAAAGTTTATTGTCATATTGGGTCTGGGCAGACTAGCGATGTAATTCAGGGTCCGACTCTCTGTTTAATGATCCGATAGAGTAGCGAAGAGAAATAAAGGTTAACATCATTAAAACAAATGAAACTCGGTCCGTTATTGCCTACCAATGCGCATCGTCTTATAGAACTTCCAAATACCAGAGGTATTGCTCTTTAAAGATGCCAAAGGGGCCAAAGGACTTCGACATTTGAAAAATTAACGACTTTTGGTATAACTCTTTTAATACTGCCTCGTTTCAATGCCGATGTTGAGTTGAAAGACTATAGGTATAAACAGAGGAATAGAATGAAGGTAATTTTTTGTATCTACCATGTTAAGAATACTCTGTGGTTTGAAGCTGGAAGGTGAAAAAACGCTGTAATGAATATGAAATTCCAATAAACGTTGTAAAACAAATCGGTAGGTACAAAAGAATCGTATTAATCTAAAACCGACGGTGCTGACAAAAACGATAACAACAAACTAACATTACGATTGTAGTATAAGTAATAAATTGTAATAATATTAACTGAACTAGTTATTAATTTACTTCTGATTTTCTTTCGAAATTACTATAAACATATATTTAGTGAAAAATTAAATGTCTATTAGAGTCGGGTCGTTTTTCGTTAGTGGTTTTAGATGTTGGATCTGGTGGAGACTGTGGAGAGTTCATTTAATTGTTGGCAACACTGTAGAGATGGACATTTAAAATATACATCGATGTTTTTTTCGATGTAATGCATCGATCGGTCACATCGATGGTAATACGATGTATTGAGAAATACATCGATGTTTCTTAAACATCGATTATTTTCGCCATGACGTGTTTTAGGTTAGGTTAGGCCTTAATTAAAAAGAGCCTAAAGAGAGGAAAAAAAATTTGAGATGGAGCCCGCACCAGGAGCGGGCCGGCGCTAGGAGGGGTCCGGATGTCTTAATAACAGCTGTTCCCGGATCCCTCCTATTACAGGCGCAGAGTGGCACACCGTGTGGTTTTAGTCGGTTCGAGTCCGACACACCACCCCTCCGCAAACCCCGGTGGGGTGACGTTCCGAGGGGGGAAAAAAATTAAAATTAAAAAAAAAAAATTAATTAAAAAAAAATATATATATTAATAAAAGCAGGAAATATATTTATTCAAATTCAAAATCACACAACCAACGCATTTTTCTTTACATATTCCAATATTTTTTGTCAATGCTATGTAAAAACAAAAGTTTACTTAATCTCTTCCTTTTCAGTCGGTTCCTTCGTTCAATTCAGCGAGTATTTATTTAAAGCGAATTCATAATCTAGTATTTTCACATAATAAAAATCAAGTTTAATTTAATTTTCCCGCGAACAAACGAATAATACGAGTCGAACGACCTACAGCGTTCCAACGGGCGAATTAAAAGAACCCCGTTCAATAAACTATAGCTATTTGGCGGCTATACAACACTATACTCATTCATAATTTGCTTGGTCGATGCATCGAATAAAAAACATCGATATATATTCGATGTTGAAGTATTAACAATACATCGGTTTAATACGATGCATCGTTACTATACATCGAGTGTTTTAAATAAATCGATGTATATCGTCCATCTCTACAACACTGCCGCCGACACCGCCATTTTGTAGAGTGCGTGTAATGAAAGTTACAGTGTAACAAAGAAATTTGCAATCAACTGCTTCGTAGTGACTTGGTAAATAGTTGTTACATTATATTTACTACATAAAAACTAAGTGAAGTGCATAACTGAATTTGTCATTTACTAAATGTTGATATGTTTATGATTAAATATACCATGTAAACACTACGCAGTTACGCGTACGCATTAGGTACAATATATTTATTTAAATGTCTTATTTTAGGCAAAGATGTCTCGACACGGTGACTGTAAGGTTTACGTAGGTGATTTGGGTAACAATGCAAGCAAACCAGAACTAGAAGATGCTTTCTCTTACTATGGGCCGTTAAGAAACGTGTGGATTGCCAGGAACCCACCTGGCTTTGCATTTGTTGAGTTTGAAGATCCCCGTGACGCCGAAGATGCTGTAAGTTATTTTCTTGATTCTCATGTATTTCTACAAATGTTTGTTATATTTTATAAATACTATGACCTTTAGCATAAACAAATCTATAAATTATTTTCATTATCTATTAAGTTTCTTTACTTTCTACATAGTTTTTTTTACTGCTTATGGCCTCATTCAAATCTCTGGTCTACTGTATATCAAATAACAACTATTTTCAATTCCATTTTCAGACACGAGGTTTAGATGGTCGTACCATTTGTGGACGTCGTGCTCGTGTTGAAATGTCCAACGGAGGGCGAGGATATGGGGGCCGAGGACCACCGCCTCGATCTCGGGTGCCACCTCGTCCTTACGATGACCGTTGTTACGATTGTGGAGACCGAGGACACTATGCTCGAGATTGCACACGCCGTCGTCGCCGAAGGTGATGATTTAAAGTTATTTGACTGGTGTGTGTGTTATGGTACATAGCATTGGTATGAATTCTTTCAGGTAGTGCCTCCCTGAGCTTTGAAATTCCGCTTTAGTAAAGTGTAATGTAAACAACAAGTACACAATACATACAAAGATTCTATCTCATTATATTGGACTCACTGATACCAATGATAACTATGTTATAGGTTATCATTGGCCTGTGCGCCGAGAACGAACTCGTCAGTGTCTGCACTTCTTATTGTCTGCGCTACGTAGCTTTCCCACCGCGGCGTGTATGCCAATTGAGTTGGTCTCTTCGGTAACTTCGCTCTGCGAACTACGTAGCTACAGGCTACGTGCACGCTTCACTTGTTAAGAACTTCATTGAGAGTAATGTTCGTTCTACGCGTCGCAACCCACGTCTAATGTAATCACTGCGCACACTCAGTGAGTTACACATTATTATCCCATTTTTGTGTTCATAAGCGGCAGTTGCTGTTTCTCCATGAACAGTTCGCAGAACTATAAGGGATTATTAATCAGGATTTAGGCATCAAATAATACCTGAATGTATGGCACATTACTATAGAAATTTAGTTTTATATGATTTAGTATAAAATTATTATTTAGTAATTGACGCACAAAAACACTATCAGGCTCAGTACAACCCCCGAAGTAATGTGTATAATTCTAGAGAAATGCATATATTTTAAACCTAATTTTATTAACTTTTGTGTAATCTTGAACAAAGCATGTAAATTACGAGTGTCAAATTCAGTTAAATCTTAATGAATTGTATATTACCCGTAGTTAGAGTCCAGTATATTTTTGAGCTAGCCTTTGGGTTTAGTAACTGAGTAATTACTCTGGTTTGAGTTAGAAATAACTGGGTACTCTGTATTAACCAAGTCAAAACTTTAAACTGAGAGGAAATATAGTTAAGTGAGCAATATTAAAAAGGAGCTCTAATTTCCACATTCAGATTTATAAAATGAATTACCTGGAAACTTGCTATTGAGAGAAGTAATTTTTTTTATGACAACTTGCACTAGGAGTATTTCCTGTGTTGCCAAACACCCAGTGAGAAAATTCTGATATACAAATAACTAAGTATGGTTTATAATTAAAAGTAAACTTTTAAATTACATACATGAGATTTAAAAAGTATTCTCTTAAAGCCTTTTATAAAGCCTCATTTATAAAGAATCTTCTAAATTCTAAACTTCTTCACACCAGTTATGGAATCAGTCTTAGACACACAGTCTATCACCTCAGCAATTAAGGAATCAATGCTGCCCCTCGCTTAATAAAAACTGCTCATCCTTTGAGGAGCTAATTGACTGTTTCTCTATGTGTATATTTGGATAGCAAAGATTACAGGTAAGTGTCCAATCAGGCTTGTGTCTCGAAACTTCTTGATAGATGATGGTTTGTTCTATTCCTAATGTAATAGTTGTGTTCTTATTCAAGGCTGACCCAATAACTAAATTGATGCGGAGGCCTTTCTATCGTCGTTATTTCATTTGTGTTTACAAGTATTTAGGCACCTTATAATTTTAACAAAATGTTTGTCAGGCTTTAAAGAATATTGTTTATGAGAAGGGTAAGCTTGAGTAAATTGTATCAATTCGGTTTAGGGCCATATTCTAATACAAACTGTTCATTTGGCAGCCGGTCGAGGTCCCGCCGACGCAGTCGCAGTCGTTCCCGCTCGCCACGTTCCGGCTCTCGCTCCCGCAGCCACAGCCGGTCCCGCTCCCGCTCCAAGGGTCGCTCCAGGTCACGTTCAAGATCACGTTCCCCATCCAAAGATTCCAAGAAGTCAAATTAAATTAAAAAATATTATACAGTACATACGACTAAACCTATTTATATCAGTGTAGAGTTATATTTTATTCGTTTATCATATTTACAAAGTACTGTGCGCCTTTGATTTGTCAGATAACATTTATCATTCCTGGATATTGTATTTTAACTATAACAATGTTTAACAATGATCTATTTTCAGATCAATAAATCGACAATTGTTTAAAATTATTTTTTCTTTACTTTCTATCAATATAATCCGTTGTTTGTTATTCATAGGTATATGTTGGGTTAGATTTGAAGATGGTAGGTACCTACCTTCTTGCGTGGTAAACACATAGATCGTACCTACATATTGATGAGTAGAAAAAGTAAGTAGATTATTATGTTGTAGAAGAATATGCATTTATTTTTAGTGCATAATAATTTCTTTTGGAATAGTGTTTTTTGAAGTCGGTTTTTTTTTGTTAAAAATTTATGTTTATTTTTTTATTTTTAGTGTATCTGAAGTACACTTACTAATTTGTCTGTATATGGGTAGACCTAATAAACGTGCTGATCATATGAAACAGCGTCCTTTGAAGGAAACAAGCGAAGTCATGGAGAAACGCCTATCTCAACAGAGGCAATCTACCTCGAGAACAATTTCAAAAGAAACTTGCGAAGAGCTCAAAAATAGACTTTCGAAATTGCGGCTTTAAAAGGTTTTGAACAGGGAATTATTATATTGAATATATTATATTGATAATATTGAAAAACTTAGTCACCGTCTCGGCTTGATCAACGATCGTCTATCAAATGAGACGGAGAAGCAACGTGCAAACCGTCTCAGCTTGATCCACGATCGCTTATCACAAGAGACGGAGGAGCAATGTGCCCACCGTCTCGGATTAATCCACGATCGTCTATCAAATGAGACGGAGAAGCAACGTGCAAACCGTCTCAGCTTGATCCACGATCGCTTATCACAAGAGACGGAGGAGCAACGTGCCCACCGACTCGGATTGATTCATCGTTTAGCAAACGAAACACCTGAAACTCGTTCATTTCGACTTATACAGACAGTTAGAATTGCCACAGATTGCACCCTTACTGTAAGCCGTTAAGGAGTTCCATTGATCATTATATTCGACAACGAAAATTACTTCCGTTACTGTCCCTGTGGTGACGGATTAAGAATACAGAATGTCACCACCCCTTTTCATCCCATGGGTGTCGTAAGAGTCCGCAAGAGACGCAGGACAACTTGAAACAAACCCTATACCAACGCGTCTGGCCAGCGTGGTATAGTAGGCCAAAACCTCTTTTCTAAGGAGAGGCCTATGTCCAACAGTAGACTAGTAAAGGCTGTTGATGACAACAATTACTTGACCATAACGACGTTACTGTAGGTGACTCAAATATCCGGATAGCCTATAAAAGATTCAGCCGAGTTTCGTTAATTTGCTCCAAGAATAATAATAATGATCTTTATTGCATTTAAAATTACACTCACTGTTGAGGTACAATATCACAATAGTACAAAATCTATGACACTGACGTTACTAAATGCTGTCTACCAAACTAGGCGAGGCCTGTATTTTAGATGACAATATCCAGCCGCAGGAAAATATACATGTAAGATTACGCTAAAGTGAAATATAGGGCACTTGCAATACAGATACATAACAATATAATAAAATAGGTATAATAAAAACTGTGTAGCGTAAGGACGTGAAGGTGTGTGTGTTTGTGTGTGTTACCGTGTGTGTGAGTCAAGTGTGAAAAGCGCGAAGATACCCCGTTTATCACAAGAGAGTAGAATGAAATAAATTATTTAATTGTTTGCAGTAAATTTTCTGTTTCTTGATAATTTAGCTTCTGAAGCCAGCTTGTAATTTTATTTTTAAGTTCGTGTCTTCTGAGACCTACAATATCTACTTCTCTGTTAATGTGATTATAAAGTTTACATAGAATTGAAGAGTTCCGTTACTTTGTCGTGGATCCCATGATCAGAATCTAACCAAACTCTCATCAAAACATCCTTAAACTACATCCATTCCAATATAAAATGAATTATCGAAATCGGTTTGCGTGATATTGAGTTTTTCGTCTGTTTGTCGCGAACATACTGAATGCAAATTTAAGACATATGGTTTTCTCATGGATGCCATTATCAGAACTAGTGATGTGCCGGATATCCGTATCCGTATCCGTATCCGCGGATATCCAAGGGAGAATTGGCGGATCTTTCAATACATATTACATAGATGAAATTCTATATAGGTGATTTTGTATTCACTGTAAAACTCTTAGGTATGTGTTTGTAACACTATAAACAGCAACTTTTTTTCTGGCCAACGTCAAAATAAAAAAAAATTGGTCCTCCATTCAAATGACCAATCAAATGTTGTTAGTTTGTATGGAGAAACATTTTTTTTTCTTTCGTTTTCGGTGTAAGTCCAGAAGAAAAGTTGTTGTTTATAATGTTACTAATATGCACTTCAGAGGTTTTCAGTAAATTTAAAATAACCCTGAATAATGGTTATTAGGTAGCTATGAAAAACTATTGAATTCTGTTCAGATTACTTTTTATTTCTTAAAACAAATATTTGGCTCCTTTGTATTGCAATCATTTATCGTACTACACTAAATCAACTAGGCAGGTCGTAGGTACTGAAAGAGTTATTTTTATAATGAGATCAATCAAACATCTTTGTATTAGCTTATTAAAATAATGAAATATTTAAATATCAACGGCAAAGCGTCAAGTGGCGACACCTATCAAGGTCACGTTCTCCGATTGAGTAAGTAACTTAAGATCCGTATCCGTATCCGCGGATCTTGACACCAAATATCCGTATTCGGATCCGTATCCGCGGATATACTTTGTTAACGATCCGGCACATCACTAATCAGAACTGAACCACTTAAAATGGGACCACACGGGAAACACCAGCTTTCTAATAAAAAAAGAATCATCAAAATCGGTTCACCTAGTCAAAAGTTCTGAGGTAACAAACAAAAAAAAATTGAGAACCTCCTCCTTTTTTTGAAGTCGGTTAAAAAAAACAAAAATTGCCACTAACTTGTAGTGACACGAGAGATTTGACAAGTTTTAATGGTACCAGAAGAAGGCAAAACATTGTTAAATCAATTACAGTGTGTTGCCTTTTAGAAACGTATGTATTTAATTTTAAAAACACTGTATCCGTATCTGTATGTATGATTCAGTGTTTTAAAAAGACAATTAGAACTTCTAGTAACGCTAATAATAAAATTAAAAAATATAAGTGTTTTAAAATCCTTGTATGTTAATACAGTATACAGTAACACTACTGTATACTGTATTAACATATAAGCATTTTAGGATTTATTTGTCTTATTTATAAAAAAATCATACAGTTTGATAAAATAAACTAATATAATTTTTATGACATAAAAACTTTCAGATCAATAATAATTTACAGTTTTTAGTAATATCCTTTCCATGGATAGATTTAATTATGAGAGCGGCAAGCTCACCTGCCCACTCTGTGCAAGGGAGTTTGCTGCGAAAATCGGCTATATAAGCCATCTCCGGGCGCATCAGGCGCCAGGTCTCCCATAAGGGGTCGAAGTGGTCGCCATGGCCAAATCGGTCGGATTACATCATCATCATAGATCTTATATGGTAAATATGTCAAAGTTTAACTAATAGTAGGTACATTTTTAAAACTATCACTGGATAGGATATTTAAACCGCTTCTTAGTAAACAAAAACAAAAAGAATTATTGAATAAACTATGTTTTGTTAAAATTTAAAATAATCATCAACAACATCTACGAAACAACAATCATCCAAAATATTTTTGTGAACTTATAGCTACTTATTAAAAAAAACGGGCTTGTCATACAAGTCCGTTTTTTTTAATCAGCAATCGGATCAGCGTAGTAATCGGATCTCATTCTGATTACTGCTACTAGTGAACACTATTAGTAAATTACAAACCAGAATCAATATGTAGGTACATCGAGATCAGGTGCAGCCGACATCTCAAGGGATTCATAAAAAAATCGCCGCGATTAGGCATAGATTTTGCAAGAGTTAGTAATTCCTTCTTTTTTACTTCACTTACACCTCTTGGTTTACTTTCCTTTTCTTTAATGCTTATAAGATCTAACCCATCGTTAATTTTCTTTTTTAACTCTACTTCAACCTTTTTTACTCGTTAAACACGGGATGCTGTTGTTTACCAACTCCTAGAGTACCAGAGTAAGAGTAATAAATTTCCAGATACTGGATGACGAGGAAGACTATGTTTTGAATTATACCGCGGCACGTCATGGCTTTTTTTTTTATGTTAGACAGGGCAGACGAGCAGACGGGTCACCTGATGGAAAGTGACCATCGCCGCCCATGAACGTCTGCAACTCAGGAGTCACAAACGCGTTGCTGGCATTTTAGGAAGGAGTACGCTCTTTTTTGAAGGTTTGAAAGTCTTATCGGTCCGGAAATACCGCAGACGATAACCTGTTCCACAGATTGGTTGTGCGGTGCAAAAAGTGTCTCGAAAAGCGCATAGTAGTTGAGCGCCAACTATCCAGGTAATGATGATGAAAATTCTGCCTTGTGGAACGATGGCGGAAAGTTGCGGCTGGTATTAGTCCGAACAATTCCTCGGAGCACTGTCCATGATATATATGCGATAGAGAATGCAGAGTGAAGCTACATCTCTACGTAACGCAAAAGGGATCGAGCCGATCGGAGATGTTTGGGTCAGCGACGATACGAGTCGCTCTTCGTTAGATGCGGTCCAGAGGGAGAACCTGGAACTGTGGTGCCCCTGCATAGAGATGAGACCAGTATTCCATATGCGGACGGACTTGCGCCTTATAGAGTTCTAGGCGGTGGGCCGGCGCGAAATGAGCCCACACGACTTATGAATGTCAAGGGAAAAGAGTGCTTTACGCACTGATTTTTGTGTGTACCGGATATCTGGCATATAGCTCTGGCACCGCGGTATGCTCGGCGGTTCGTTTCCCGCGTCATCCAAAGCCGAGTTAGTAGCAAAGAGTTTGCCTAGGAGATCGGCTTTCTCCTTGGCATCATAGGCCAATGAATTATCTCCCATCTGCATGTCGTTTCATGCGGCGTGCGGTTTTATTCTACAGATTATAATGACACCGCGTCCCGCGAGCACCATAGGTCACAGGATACGACCCCCTCCCACTCCGCCTCTCCCGGAATTAAGGGAAGGAGCATTTGGGCCCCGGTAACCTTACTCGCACGATGAATACCAACAACAGATATCACGCGGGTCGAGCCGGCCCATTTGTACCAAAGCATGGCGCTCCCACGAAACATTTTTTTTTCTTTAACGTATCTGTTCGTATTTGTGTCTCTTCATATTCAGCCAGAACTGCTATTAATACCAAACACCGGTCAATCATACGAGTAACCACACAACCAACCAAAGGACAACCTGACGTGCCGTGCCGTGCCTTGCCGCGATGTCAGTCAGCGGCGGCATTAAAACCGCACATTGCGCGCTGTCTTGGGTAGTAGCCCGAGAACCAGGTGTAACCTAGAAAGAAAATCGGCTTACAGATGGCCCCCTCGTGTGTGGTGACAAAGGTTTCCCTTCCCTGCCGCTAAAGGTGCTCCGGAACGCGTTGCGTCGCCACCTCACCCCCTAGCTCATTCCCGGGCCTAGCGAACCGGGAGAGGGTTCTAAACCCCCCCGGGTCCCATTTTGCCCACTCCCTAGCGAGCATAAGTTGCTCGCAGAAAAATTTAGCGGAGTCCTATGTGCGCTCGCTCCGTACCATGGCCGCAATCAGTCACGAGGTCATGCCTCTACTATAAACACGCCGGGCATTCTGCCAGCATTTGAAGCGTCGTGTCCACGGTCTGACCATCACAGTGATGGTAACAGGCCAATGCTCTTTGCGGATTAGACACAGGTGATCTCCAGAGCATCGTTTGCGTCAGCCGGTATCAGAGGGAAGTGTTTCGTCTCGAGCCAATCCTCCATAACGGGTCTCACCGTCGCGCTAGAATCAGCCGCCCCATAAGTTCTTTAACGTATAAATCTCGACCGGTTTGGGACACTTGGGAAACCCGCGCCCGCGCCTTGTGTAATTCAAATTACAAATCCTTAAGTTTATTATAGTAATTCGAAGCTTATGTACGAAAATAAATACAAACGTTTTTGCATTTATTTTCTTACACCGATCAACAGATGTTACTATTATACGTAATGACATAATAAAGATATATTAGAAATGAGGAAATTGAAAATTTTGAAATTGCCGTCCGCGTGCGGTGCACGCTCTGCACACCCGCACCCGGCGCGGGCGGCCCTGCCTGAACGCGAGGTCAGTCTGCAACATCAATACATATTTAATTTTTTTTTACAGCCCCAATAACGTGTTTTAGTTTGTTTATCTAGATGTAAAGGTATTTGCGTTTAGTAGTCGTTATGTCATGTCTAAGCTGATGAAGGAAGAATTTTAAAATTTTTGGGAGTTAGAGGATAACTCTTTCAATAATATGATCATGTGCTGACCTTGTTGCATTCTTTTAAGATATTTTTAGGTGTTTGTGTTGGGTTATAGAGATATTTGCACAAGGAAGTAATAAATGAAGTGAGTTGTTACCTCAAAACTTTCATTTTTGATAGGACTAATCCCTTCCACACGCCCCCCGCTGTAACTCCTGTACACCAGGATCAACAGCAGTGACCCACGAACTCACTGAGTTATGACACTCGGGAAGTCCCAGAAAAAAAAACTGTCTTGGAACCCGCAACGAAATTAATTAAAAGAAAATTGGAGGAGTTGGAAATACAGTGAACCCACTTCCCTCTTTAGCAAAGCGGAAGACAAAATGAAGTAAAATAGGCATACACCCTTTTAAACAGAGAAGCACCACGGCCACAAAATATTATGGGTCCTAAGTGAGCTATATTTGATTTCTATAATATGTATGGCAGAATCGCCTAAACGCACGGAAATTCACCTTAGTTGACACAAGATCCGCATAATATACCGCCACAGATGTCACCTGCAAGCTATTAAGCATTATATTATGTTCATTATACCAAAGACCCAGAGGATATAATGAGCAGATTTTTCACAGTTAGAGTTAGGTGTTGAGCATTGACGCAATGGTGACTCAACTAATTTAAATGAATACAGTTACCGTGACAGTACCATGACCTGTAAGAAATTGAGCGACACAGTGATCCACCTCAAGCCATATCTTCAACAACCGTTCGCGAACAAATGAAAAGAACTGGTAAATGTGGCGCCCCTTAGATGATTCACCCCAGCGTTGTTGCCATTCGTCTATGAGGTCATAATAGACATCGGGCTACTGTTGATGCAATCTTGTAATTTTAACGCGATCTCATGCACCTCGAGATCGACCGGAAGCACGTCCGCCAACACCGGCAAAGCCCAGTGCTAACCGTACTATATGCCTTACACTAGAATATTAGTGCAAGTCGTTGGCCTTGTAACAGTTTGCGACGGATAGCGCCTACGGTTGTCCTATCGGCCCATACAGGTGCACCATTGCACATAGAACCTAAATAATTAGCTCCGTATATGATCTTTAGTGTATTAAATGTTAGACCCCACGTCGCAGTTGATATCCTTGTCAATCCCGGACCTGCCGGGCCGGGAGAGGTTTAGAACTCTCCCGGCCAGATACAGCAGACAACTCAGATGCTGGAGGTCGCAGAACGACCTCCATCCTCCATAAGCGCAGGCCTTGGGGTGACAGGTGAGGCCATCTGTCACCCTAGCAGAAGCAGGCTGGGGTGGCGGCGAGATACGCTGCAGAGCGCGCGCGCCCTTTCGGGAGCACAAAGGAAACATGGGGGTTCCCACACAGGAGGGGGTCATCTACCCGCCGTAGATGGCCCGAGGTACGTCGGGGCACATGGGATTTCCTTTCTAGGGTACACCTGGTTCCCTGGCTACTGGTACCCGTGACGGCGTGCGGTTTTTAGTCGGTTCGAGTCCGATATAGCCTCCGGTGGGAACATCTGCGGGGATTTCCGCACAGAAAAGAAAAACAAAAAAAGGGGTAGGAACTTTTTACAAAACCTTTTTATTTGAATAACAAACTAAAACACATTTTTTGAGATGGAATAAAAAAAGAACTCGCTACACTATTACCGTTACCGTTACCGACACCTCTGTATAAAGCATATATCTACATCATCAACAGCCTTTAATAGTCCACTGCTGGACATAGGCCTTTCCTTAGAAAGGAGGTTTTGGCCTACTATACCACATTGGCCAGACGGGTTGGCATAGGGTTGTTTCAAGCTTTCCTTCTTTTTGCAGTGCTGGTGTCCTGCATTGTTTTGTGCCCTTAGTCGGCTCTTACGACACCCACGGGATGAATTGGGGTAGTGACATTCCGTATTCTTAATCCGTCACTACACGGACAATAATCTACATAATATGTACCATATCTACATATATTGGCCCGTTTACACGAGAGTTGAGTTTGGGTTGATATACATTGATAATATAACGATATATATTCATGCCGGAACTCCCGGAGTGCCACTGTTTCTTTAATATGTTGCCTGATATCCATAATTCAACATAGTTCTTATATATAAAAACATATCTTTATCATTTTTAAATTATTTACATTTTATTTACGTTTAAAAACATTAGCTGCGTGTCTTTAGATAATTTATTGTTTGTTTACATTCTTAAGTTATTTTTATTTCTCATCAAAAACAAAACCTATGCTTAGCGTGATAAGACTCACAGCTCTATAAATTCAGCTCGTGACAAGGTATTAAATGTTATTTTTGTTATGCCAAGCAATTCAAGTCTAATAATTTGAGCAATCAATAATAATAATCATTATTGTTTGCTCTTATTGACAATGCCATCTGACAATTCAATTTTTATCACGTTTGTTACAGTGTAGTTTGCTAAGCTGAAGTGACAAAATACGCTGATAAAGAATCCAAAACCAATAAAAAACTGATTTAATTGGTTATCTCATTATGTTTCATTTATTTCATTCATCTAGTGGTCCAGACAAAACACATCAGTGCTAAAAACCAAACCACCATCACTAAAATGCTAAAAAGAACGAGAGGTACATACGTCACTACATACATATATAAATCTGAACGCATGCGATATTGAGCCGAAACAGAACTCGGTTCGCGTATCACAGCGCACGTACTTTCTACAACTTCAGACAAAGATTTAAAAAATATATATCTTATCAAGATAATAACATGCATAACGCCGACCTATATGAACAAAATAACGGTGTACAAAAAAGAGATGCACTCGCATGCTTGGAAAAGTACGCACCCGATATGAAATGGAAAAAGAAGGGTAATAGGATCATAGACATAGGATGCGGCGATGGTACTGTTACAAATATGCTGAAGAAGTATTTGCCAAATGACTACAAGCTACTAGGGGTTGATATAAGCGAAAGCATGGTAAATTTTGCCTACGACCATCACTGTAATGAAAATACTTCCTTCGCGGTGTTGGATATAGAAGATGACTTACCTGATAGTTTGAAAGGAAAATTCAACCACGTATTTTCATTCTACACCCTACACTGGATCCAAAATCAAAAGTGAGTTTTTTCCACATATTCATTTAAACTACATTAATTGGACAACAATCAGAAATTGAGGGTTACAAAACCTTTCAATAAGCACCTATTACTCGTAGCTTCGTAATTCTTAAGGGCATTATGTAATGCAACCTGCATTACGCAGCCTCTAATGGCGCACGTTAACCTGTTTTTTAAACAAACGAAAACGAATGAAGGCTCGCATTACATAATTATTACCATTCCCGTTACCAAAACATTCCTTATAAATTTATCATGGGCAGGTGTAAATAACCTGTTTTATAATTATATATTTTAAAGTTATTTGTATTCGTAAATATGACTTATATGTAATATTAAGTGTGTGCGTGTGTGAAATATGTGTTGCCCCACTCATACTTCCGCATGTGTCCACTCTTCGTTCTTAATCCAATCTGTCCTCCTCTGGAACGCTCTGCCTTTGGAAATCAGAATAGCACCCAGAATAGGGAATATGCACGTGACACCAAAATGGTCAAAATATTTTTATTTGTAATTTTTATTGCTAAAAAAAGATACCCCTACAATTATTTTTGAAATTTATTTTAATTTAATAGTGAAATTTAATCATCAAAAATTGGCTTTTTTAAGATTCCCTCGCAAATTTCTAAAACGCAACGCTATTGGTTGAATGAAACGTGACGTCAACCTACACTGTCAAGAGTGTCAACAAGTTGTGTGTATTTGTAATATTTGGTTTCTGGTGATTATTTGTTTCATTTTAAGTTAATAACTAATACGTTTTCAGTGTTAAATTATTAAATTCCCGTGTAGAAAGACTCAACACAATGACTGAATATACTTTGTCAGGTGCAGTTTTGATATTATTTGGGCACAAAGGAACGGCACAATATTTATAATAAGTTTTTATTGGCTTTTCCATGGTAATAAGTTAATTTTTATCACTCACTTTTTTAACTTTCACAAACTTTGTGAACTTCACTCCGTTGTTGACATCGAATTCGTCTGAAAGTGTGACGTCACAAAAAAAGCGCGCCAAAATGGACGTGTTCAAATGGCCCCAAAATGATAGTGATTTTAATAATTTTTTTTTTGCTTAACGGTTTATATTTCGGATGTGTTATATTTATTTTTGGTAATGTAATAACTAGTAGAATCGTTTAAAAAATAAAAAAAATACATGCATATTCCCTATTCTCGACACTTTAGCAGACTCATCACATCCCTAAAGTCTTATATGTTATATGTATATATACGTATGTACTATATGTATGTATGTAACTCAGCAAGTATATATATGTATGTGTATCTCAGTATGTATGTAACCTAATTTTAATTTCATGCACCTACTCAGACATTTCCCCACCACCCAAAATACTAGGTAGACTGGGAGAAAATGCCTTTGGCATTAAGTCACAATGTACAATGGCGTACAATGATTTGTTATTTGTGCAAAAAGAATAAAATAAAATAAATATATTAACGGATATTATGTAGGTATATGTATTTTAGAAAAAATAATTAAATTACTTTGAACGTTGATTTTTTGAAAGTGATACGAGTACCTTGTCAGTATGCGAAACTTGTTCAATTTCTAAACATAAAACTTACAAAGATACCATAATATCCAATTTGGTAAAGAACTGGTACACGAAACTTGAAGTTAGACGATTTAAAAAAAATCCGGACAAGTGCGAGTCGGACTCGCCCACCGAGGGTTCCGTACACATTTGTAATTACATATTATAAATAGTTCAGGAATCTAATCTCGCAGTTTTTTTCGAACTTTGCCCGAAATTCAGTTTCCAAAACCTATACTTACATAAATTCTTGAGTTTTATAAGAGAAATTGTACCTTGATGATTTATTACGAATTAAATTAAAGATTATATATTTTTTAATTTATTTACATATGTACAGCTTTCAGATTTTTCGCAGTACTAGTATGTAGTATAAGACACTGTTACTTGCCAAATTTCAGAGTTATAGGTCAACGGGAAGTACCCTATAAATTTTGATTCCCTTGAGAGTGTCGAAATATGCGTTTTTTGCGGCGTAAACGGCTTTACGTTAACTTAGGAGTTTGATTATTTTACAGCTCCAACAAACCGTAGTCAGGTCTACGGTTTGTTGGAGCTGTATATGGTTTTAATATCAACTCGATTAAATCAATTATGTGAACCTAAATGATATCGTAAATGTTAAAAATCTATAAAAAAATAAAACATGTTAGTATCGTTAACGAATGATCTATTCTTTAGATATCATTAAATTAGCTTGCATAAATATGGTGCATTATTGGTTCAATCGTTTAAGTCTGAAAATTTTCGCGGTCGGGCGCTGGAATCTTGCGGTCGGCCGGTAGAAGCGGGTCCAACTCAATCTACGGCTGAGCTTACTGCGGCCTTTGGAGTTAGTATCAAAACAACATTTAAGTACTCGTCAAATCGGTAAAATAATAAGCTAGATAAGGGGGTGCCACACGAACTAAGCGACCAACAGCGAGACTTACCTTCTAAGAATGCATCGCACTACTGAATTGCCCTAGAAACCTGATCCTAAACCTGTATAACAACCGTAAGCGTTTTTCTCAGTGGGGGAACCCGGGTACAGCATCTAATCAATGCGCAAAAAGAAACCCCATAATAATATTAATTTTATTTGACCAATATAAATATTACAGTGTAGGACATTTCAGTTTAACATAGATCTTAGACAATAATTAGACTAAGTTACACTAGCGTAAATCTATAGTAGTGTTATTTTATTCTTATGGTTGTATAATTCATATTACGATACACCTAAAGATATTACGATTGTGTTAAAAACTTTAGTCGCTGCCTGCCTGAACTAGGGTAAACCTGTGTTTCAGGCGATCGCTATCTATCCCATAGGAAGATGGTGGGAACAGTCTGGTGGACCAGTGCCGGGCTTGTACAGTCAAAGGTCATAAGTGCTACTGGACTTAAGACCGCGACCGTACATCACAGCTTCTTACCGAATGGCACAACAGTGACGGCAGATCTCTATTGCCATGAATTGAAAAACAATGATGGGGAAGCTCGTTATTCAACGACCACGACTGGTCAATCGTTCCATTGCTTCTCCACGAAAATGCGTCTGCTCACACTTTGCAAGACTTTCTAACAAAGATCGATCTTTGTTAGAAAGTCTTGCAAATGTTATTATAGCGTTTATTTGTGCTTCGCTTAAGCTATTTAAGTTTAAGACGCAGTTATCTTTACGATGCCTCTGTGTAGAACAGGCGACGTGATAATTTGATATTGAAACGCCACTGGATATATACTGTTTATATTCCAGTGGCGTATAGCAGGCATTATAATTACAAATAATTATTGTTCGATTAATTTTTAAATTTCACTTTCAGGAAAGCCTTCGAAAATATATTTAATCTACTGGAACAGGACGGTCAATGTTTTATGACTTTCCTGGCGTCTAATCCGATATATGATGCTTTCCGAGCCTTATCGCGGAGGAGTAAATGGAGCAATTTGTTGTTGCAAGAGGATGTTAAAAAATTTGTATGCCCCTACCACGACTTAGAGGTGACTATTCTAGCAAAAATAATATTTTTTTAATGACTTGTTTACTGCATACATTTTAAAACTACGTAAAGGAGAATAATAGCTTTTTATAGCCATTTTCAAAAAGTAGCCTTTGTTACTCGCTGATAATGTAACTTTCCATTGGTAAAATAATTTTTAAAATCGTTCTAATGGTTTAGGCGTGAAAGCATTACAAACAAGCAAAATCACTTACACATTTAAAATATAAGTATGGAAGTGCCTTTTTTTGTTGACGGGGTGGAAAATCCCTTCGGATCCAAAGCTAATCGGGGAATCAGGAACCAGAAGTATGTGGTGATTCCACTGAAAACCACCCCTACGGCCGGCCTCAGATACTCTGGGAGGACCCGGATCATATTATTTCAGGTCCTCCCAGAATTGACACCATGCCTAATCAGGCCCTATCCCAGTGGAAGACACTTCCCCGCCCCCCTCAATCGCGGCCCGATTGCGTCTTAATGCAATCAGGCCGCCATCCTATCTCCTACCGCAGCAATCAATCTGCCCTCAGAGGTCGCCACTCTCAGGCGGCCCGCGGCCCTTCGACTGCTGATGTCGTCGCCGACGTCCTCGTCGTCCCTCTCCCGATCCCGTTCAGCGGTCTCTTTCTGGAGCATTACAGCTTCACAGAAAGACACCACCACACCCCATCCCTCTTCCCTCGCCAGCATGGCAGCAATCATTGCTGGCGGGTAGTATGGATGTGCCTGGTAAACTGCAAACAACTGCGGCTTGCCCTGTTACGTAAGTGGGACTAAAATTATTATAGCCAGCAAAATGTGGGTGTTTAATATGCCTCTGTTTACCCTATCGACGATAAAAGGTGACGTGACTATGATCTGTGCTGTTGAAATAGAAACAAGTTTTAAACATTCTTTGAACTCTGACGTCAAACAAGTTTTTTTATATTTTTGTAATGTAAAATATTTATTAAAAATACAAAGAACTTCATCGTCACGACATATTTCTCATTATAATATACATTTTATTGTTATTTATCTATATGTATATTTAAAAATGTTAGGTTGGTTTGTGTACGCTTCAAAACTCAAAAGTTCTGCATCGATTGAGCTCAAATTGTAACACAATAGAAAACAAGCTTCAAAGATCGTATTTATCTATTTTTGCCACCACAATTTGTTACTTGTAAATTATTATGCTGTTAGTATTTATCAATAAGTGATTGACATTCGAGCTAGAGATCGCGAGTGTAGAAAGTGGCAGGTTCAGTGATGTAACTTGCATGTTATACGCCGGGTGCAAGCCGACCCACTCCGTGCATCTGCACCACATATACATCCATTCTACCCCGGTTTGCTTATTTCTGTCTACGCCCTGGGCCTAGGCACCGATACTTGTAGCACTCCTCTAGTTATGGGACTGGGCACATTTAATGAGACGCCCAAACAATTGTAAGGTTTGCTTGATTCCTTAATAACAACACCACGTCGATTATATGGTGATTGAACCTGTCACGATGATTTTCTTGAAATTCTCCTTAAAACCCAAGTTCTCTTCTTGTACAGAACGATGTATGGAGTTGAAGTCGAATGGGTAGGTATACCTTACAGAATAAGGGTAATAGGGGGTAATCTGTATTATACCTCAATAATTACCATATTTTGTTTTTGTAAAATTAATTTTACTTAACCTTTTTTAATTTTGTATAATCGTCTGCGGTATTTCCGAACCGATACGACCATCAAACCATCAAGAAAAGAGCATACTCCTTCCTAAAAGGCTGGCAACGCGTTTGTGACTCCTGAGTTGCAGACGTTCATGGGCGGCGATAGTCACTTCCCATCAGGTGACCCGTCTGCTCGTCTGCCCCCTCTAGCATAAAAAAAAAGGTAGCGTCCTGAAAATCCTGGCAACATCCACATTGTTTGACAATGCTAAGTCCTGAGTCTAGAAAAAGACCCGCTTTTGTTATCACATAAGTTTCGATAGCGTAGCTTAGCTAGTTCCTTATAATCGGAATAATCACTCGAACCTTATGGCCATCAACTCGCATTCAAACATCTTGACTCCAAACCGTGATTTCCGAAACTATCAACAGCTTTTAACGTTGATGAACGTACAGAGAAATAATGTAATATTATAGATTTATTACTCGACATTTCAAGAATTTCCTTCAAAAGTGTAAAGAATCTTATCCGTCGCATATTTATTTGGCGAAAGTCTGAAGTCCTTCGTACCTATCGATCAGTACGGGTCCGACCTTGGTCCAGAATATTTATGATTAATACATTAAACTTTTAACTTTTTTACAGGAACCGGACAAAGAAGTAACAAAAATGATGAAAAATATTGGATTCAATAAAATCGATGTCGTATGTAAAGAGCTCATCTTTACCTTTGACAATTTGGATGATTTAAGAAGTAAGAATCTTTGTTATTATTATTTTGTCTTATGTTTAAAACATAAATAGTAGCCATTTCACTGTGTATAATATACTTACGTCAAGACCCACTACACGTAATCTTGAATTAGCATCGTCTTAATAGAAACGTCGAATATGATGAAAGTACAAGATGATCATCCATGTACAGTATTCAACCTAACACCCTATCCATCACCCGCCACCGTCATATAAATCAAACAAACTTAAATACGATCCTGATAAGCTTTGAGGCCAGAATATTAGTAAATATTCTGAAATATGTGTGTACGTATTATTCTGAAAGTAATAGTGATTTAAAGGCGGAAGACTTGATACATACCTACATTAGATTTAAAAACAAATGTTTTCTTAAAAAAGTAATAAAATATTTTAACCATCCAATGTCTGGTTTTCCGGTTCTGGTGGTCCATTGGATAGTTGACAGGAAGATATTAATATTTTTTCAAGTAAAGAGTACCGTCTATACTCGTATATACTATTTATTTGCATAACATAATACTGATTTTCTTTCTGATCCGAATATCTTTTCAATGAGAGCAGCAAGTTTAAGACAGTTCAAGGCAGCGACAGACGTCACACTAAACCTGTCGTTTGAATTTAATTAATTTATTTTAAATATAAGTAGCATCTTGCACAAGGATAAATGTGTCGCTAAACATGTTTAAGAAACTGCATAAGTTCATTACCAAAACGCGTTTAAGAACAGTAGAACTGACAGTTTTAAAGTTTAGGTTAGTTTATTGTTGTAAATATGGACTTAGATTTCATTCATTTGTGTTCTGACTATGATGAAGACATTATACGCGTAGAATACTTAAATAGACCCATACTACGGTAAGTTTGCCCCGGACCGACTTATTAAACTCTCTTTCTGAAGATAAATTTGTACGGAGATTTTGTTTGAGCACATCGACAACTTTATTGCGAGTCGGTCTTTGCTCTAGTTCTAGTTTTCTAATACAAAATTAAATTATAAACGTAAAAAGTCAGTAAGGTATAGTGAGGTAAGGCATTGTTTTGACAAACAATAACCAGTAGTTTCGTTTTGTGCAAAAGCATGCGTATGTCATCGTTTTAATCACAACAAAACAACATCATGACGTGGAACGGAACGTAGAAACTGCTTTATCACCTCCGTAAATTTACATATTTAACTAAACGAGCCTGCTGTCGTCGCTGTGCAAGAAGGCGCTAAATTTGTTTAAGTTAAACGTGTTTTTTGAGTTTCCCTAATTTGTTTAGTAGCTAATTAAGTCAAACTTTGTGCAAGTTGCCCTTAGTGTTAAAAATTTAACAACGGTGGTCACCGTCAGAGGTCTATTATTGTTTCGGTTCTTAACGAGGAGTACGAATTTGATGACTTCAAGTACTATTGACATATGAATTCGAAACTGTATTGTTTGAACTCCTTTCAACATTCGACCTTGACAACGATCAATATAGTTCTATCGACACTTTTACCCAAAACATATTTTGTAGCTGTGTTTTTTTTCTGACCCATAATTAAAGGTATCATTAGTACTATCGTTTTCAGGAGCGTTACCTTATTCTTATATTTAGTATATAAACGCGATTAAGTCCCGTAATAAGTACTTATCTAATGTGAATTGAACAATTAGTTTGTTATGAAACTCATCATTTTTTTGCAATTAAACTAGATTTAAATCTATCGTTTTGACTGTGCCAGTAGTTCAATAACTAAAGTTATGTCTATATGTGCTCGTGGCAATTGTACGTTGTCTTATCTACAATAGGTTCATGTGAAAAACCACAGGAAGAAGTTCGCCGCCTCTATATGGGCGTCTTGCGGTCCATGGTCTCCTATGGGGCACCCGTCCAATGACTTGGCGGGTTTCTCCCGATGCAAGGCTCTCAGAAGCCTGCAGCAGTTGATGGCCATACTGGTCGTACGGGTACGATCTCGTTTGAAGCGTCGACGATCCTGGCGCGACCAAAGCGAATTAAAAAATTGCTATGGCTAAGCAATTTTGTGTATATTGCTACTTAGCATACTTTATTAAATTGCATTGTTTATTATATTGTATTATATAATTTATTATATTGTACCTATTGATTATTTATCTATTGCAAAAGTATTTTATATTCGATATGATAAGAGCTCATAATAGATTCAAGTAGAACGTTAACTGCATTTATTGATGCTATATACCAAGTAATAATATTAGACATACTTACAATGTTTATTATTTGTTAATGCTATTGAAACTGCCAAGCTTATGCCCTTAACAAAAAATTGTTCAATTTTATTATGTGTCATGTTTCAGATCACTTAAGAACAATCAATCCGTTCAAGATTCCAAAACACATGTACGACGACTTTCTGGATGACCTTATTGAAATCTTGCAAGATATTGGAGCCAATCAAATCGACAAATCGAATAAATGTGTGAGAATTGATTATAAATTGCTCATAGTGTATGGTCATAAACCTGATATAGAAATGAGCTAAACATCATATTTAAGATGCTTAATACTTTGAAGGATTGTTGAGTGGTGCTGTGGCTTTCTGGTTTCCAATGAGCAAACTAGAAAACGAGATTAGATAGGTCAACTTTCTAACATTTGTTACTGAAAACTAACTCATTCAAATTGCAAGAAAAGTATGAAAACTGTACATTTAGTTCAGAAGTGATTGACAACGACAATAGCTTATTACCAAGAAAGCCAAAGTAATAAAACTCGCCGACACAATATATCAATCAACATAATATGTAAGAAATTAATGTAAAAAATATAAAAAAAAAATTGACTTAAGGGAACCTATTCATTTCCTTCAAACTATTAAAGTAAGTCTAAAGCCAGGTATTCATTTCAATTAAATTCGTTTTTTGCACTCCGTAATGTATACACAGGTCTTTTAAATGTAGAAAGAAACAATTATGGACCCTGTCGGGCACGGCAAAATTAGGACAGAAAAGCAAACATTCTATCATCCATTAAGCATATAAATAGAGCTAAGTATGTATTTATTTTATTGCTCACGTATTAATTAAATTTAGTAAATATTATATTATAGTACATTACTATTATATATTAATTTGTGTTTATAGTATATTATTAATATAAATCATTAAACTTATTTTCTAATTGTATGTTACGATAATTATTCAAATTTGTAATTTAGATATTATATGATAAATTATAGATAGTAGCATTTTTTGTATTCAAAGATCTTTTAATTTGTTGATAAACGTATTAAATTTTGCTTCATTTTTAATATTATTGGATAATCTGTTATATATTTTTATGGACGTGACGTAGGGGCTTGATGCCTGTATTTGTAATCTGGACATTGGTAAGTTTAGTCTGGTTTTGTGTCTTAATGTATAATTTTTATTTAAATCTTCCCTTCTTGTGTAATAATCTGTGTGTTGTCTGACAAATTTACATGTTTTAAGAATATAAATACAAGGAACGGTAAGTAATTTTAGTTTTTGAAAATGAGGTTTTGCAACTTTCTGTGTCGTCCATGTTTACAATTATCCTTGTTAACTAAGTACAGTGAAAGTAAAAGTAAAAGAACATCATGGTTCCCATCTATCGACATAAGTATACATTTATACGCCATCAGACATCTAACCTCTCAGGCAATTTAGGCGAGATTCTGTCAACGAACATTTGGGCTCAAGTGTAAGTAAATAAGCCTGCTATCCTCATATAGAGGAGCTTAGAAATCTTCGTGAGTCTTTTGAGGGCAAGCGTTTGCTATTCGAGTTCTTCGAGCGCTCAAACGAAGATTAGGGCAGTTTGCAAATTCATGCGATTGTGAATGGGTCTCACAATTGACGCAGGCTCTTTTCTCGTTGGACGAAATGGACTCTAGGATCAGATTAGTGACAGGAGAAGACCATCTCGATCTACTAATAAACGTATCTCAAGCTATTTAATATTTATTTATTTAATGCTTAGGTTCTTCACAGCTGACAGTATATAGTTTACATGATAATAGTCGAACAATACGCCAATTACAAAGTACACAATTAATTGAAGGCACATACACAGCAAGCTGTGTATCAAATATAATTCAGTAGTTTGACTTCGCTATGAACTCAACTGACTCACATTGAGCTATCAGTTTGTTTGCACCAAACCAAATCTGAAGTGCTTCGAGAAGCAGCAAATTCGAGGGATTGTCTCATTATTCGAGCTGGATTTTGTGTCATCCGTTTATTGTACTAGCTTCGCTGTGACACATTATAAGAAATAAGGTTTCCTATATATCTGTCTGTACTTCTGATTATTTGAAGTCGTATTAAACAGTCAATGTCATATTTGGATTTAATATTGGTGTTTAATATTTAATAGTGTACTATAAAATAACGTAAGCTGATTTAGCTGTTTACGTGTTAAGTGTAAGTGTATGTTTGTTTGTGTGAACTCCCACGAGATGGCGCTCGGCTATAATCGGCAATATCATCTGGTTTGAAATACTTTATGGCAATAATTTAGTGTGGGTATTTGTAGTTGAAAATTGTTGTTTGATATTAATTATAAGATGATTTATTTATGGTTTAAATGTCAGAGCGAGTTTTACACTTCGACATTGCAGGAAAAAAAATTGTTTCAATACTAGGGAGTATTGAAACTAATTTTTTTTCTGTGTACTTGACTAACTTGCCTTGCCTTGTAATTACGTTGCTGCTTTATGGCATCAACGACTTAACGAAGATTAAGCGGATCATCAAGTGCTTCGACTTTGGAAAGCTGATACGTAATCAAGATCAGTGGATCTTGACTACATATCAGCGGTCTCAACGCAGACCGCTAATATGTAATCAAGGTATTGAAATACTCAACCCAACGCTATATATAGCACATCTTCTTTATTGGTAGGTAGCATAACGTTAATGTCCGTGTAGTGACGGATTAAGAATACAGAATGTCACTACCCCAATTCATTCCGTGGGTGTCGTAAGAGCCGACTAAGGGCGCAAAACAACGCAGTACACCAGCACTGCAAAAAGAAGGAAAACTTGACACAAACCCTATACCAACCCGTCTGGCCAGCCTGGTATAGTAGGCCAGAACCTCCTTTCTAAGGAGAGGCCTATGTCCAGCAGTGGACTATTAAAGGCCGTTGATGTGATGTGATCTGATACCGTTAATGGATTTCAAAGGTGTTGTGCACCAATTAATACACGTATTTCACCAAAAAGCTCACCGGATTGATTTGAGTCTGCCAACGACTGCATATAATGTGCTTTGTTTCGTAGTACTAGTGAACTCTTTTTAATCTCATCACTATGATATGATGAATCACTACGGTGCAAAAGATGTTTTTGGTTTAGGCGTTAGTCAGCAGGGTATTATTTTCATCAAACCAATTTTTGTTACATTTTGGTTTTAGGCCTAGTGTATCGAGTGCTGATTTAGTTAATCGACAAGACAGTTCTTGTCATTTAGGCTCTAGTTTACCCCAACTGACATTAAGTTTTGACGTGACTTTATTAATGTATTGTTTGTACAGTTCCTGTACCTCTCGTTTTTGCAAATCCTGTAAGATAAGATGAAACGGCTTTGGTTTGTTAGACTTACGGGGCTTATGCAGTCGTAGCGCTAGTTTTGTGACAACAAGCCTATGGTCAGTCCAGATATTGGCTAACGCATTACACGAGTGACATGAACCTGAGCCAGATCGCGCTGACGAACTATAGCATAATATATAAAATCCCAATCGGATGCTTCCAGGTGGTTTTATACTTAGCAGGGCGTCTGAACATAGTATTTGTTATACTCAGATGGAATTGAGCACAGAGACTGATTGCTAGGGGCCATTACTATTCATGTTTCCGATCCCATGATTGCCAAGCACCCTAGGCCATGCGTAATAGTCTCGGTCAACCCGTGCATTGAAGTCTCCAAGTAAAAGTATTTGTTCCCTAGATGGTATTTCATTTATCGCGCGTGTGACTTCCTCATAGAATTATCTGCAATTTCATCGGTTTTATCCATTGTTAGAGCTTAACTGCTGATAAAATTGAGGAAATTATTTGTGTCCAGGTGAAGACGCAGTGATATGACCCTATCAGATGTCAAAACTGGATAGTCCTTCAGTTTTGAGGCGATATTTGTTTTAATGGCGAACAGAACCACAGATCGCCTGGGTTCGTTAGCAACCAGGAAAAGGAATGTACCACCTACCACCGTGTTCTGTAATCTCACCCTCGTCGTCTAGATGTGTCACCTAGGGCCGCTATGTCCACATCGTAGCGCTGGAGCTCTCGAGAAACTATAGCAGTTTTACGCTCAGGGCATAAATTTGATGGGCCAAAAGTAAGAAACTTCTTTTTCTTTCATTATTTTTGGGTTGACCACAGAGAATGGATGCACAGACAACCGTGGTAAGCTGCCTCCCATATTGCTTTTGGAGTAAGCATTTGCTTGGGAACACCTTTTCTAGTACCCTCCCCAGCTGATCGGGAGAAGCAGTGCCTCTCTAAATAGAACTGCTTCGTCACAGAGGGTGCTGCCGAGCCACACTGGCGGGTGCTGCCGAGCCACCACTCTCCCTAAGCCGCCTATGTGCAGGCTTTGGACAAAGCCCAGTAAGTATCACTCTCTACCACCACCCATTGCCATAGGACTTGATCTGTGAGTCCAGTACAGCAGAAACAGACATTTACGTAGGATAAATGCATACGCATGCACAAGTGTATGAGCACACAGAGCTGCACTCTCTTGTCTGCACCCCCCTGGGCCCAGTGGACCGCTACGACTGGCCATACGATAACAATATGACCCCTATCGTCGTCCTTAAGGCCTTCCACTATGCCTAGCTGTACCGCCACCCTAAGTAGATTGATATTATAGACGAGACAGCCGAGACCTATGCGGGGAGCGACCGCAAAAGCTTAGGTGCAGAAGCACCTTATATTTGTCATTTACGTGGTGACTTTCCCCAATGGGTCACTTCAGTACTACAAATCGATATGAGTATATTCATCACATTTTCTTCAGGTATTTCGATTATGTGGAGGGAACGACTCGGGCAACCGAGCGCCGGGCACGCCGTCATCGCGGCGGTAAGACCCGTTATGGAGGATTGGCTCGAGAGGCGTCACGGGACCCTCTCATACCGACTGACGCAGGTGATCACTGGGAAAGGATGTTTCGGGGATCACCTGTGTCTGATCCGCAAGGAGCCAACGCCTGAGTGCCACCACTGCGATGGCCAGACCGTGGACACGGCTCTCCACACGCTGGCAGAGTGCCCGGCGTGGGAGTTCTCTCGCTCGATAGCCTGGTTGCAACTATCGTGCGGAGCGAGAGTGCGTGGAACTCTGCCGTCTCCTTCTGCGAGCAAGTTATGCTCGCGAAGGAGACGGCGGAGCGGGACCGGGAGAGGTTTAGAACTCTCCCGGCCCGCCAGGCCCAGGAACGGGCCAGGTACCGCAGGCGACTCAGGCGCCGGAGGTCGCAGAACGACCTCCGTCCTCCATAAGCGCAGGC